AAACTCTAAACATTTGACTTTGACTTGCCCCGGATAGTATGTAAATAGGCTTTAAATTCTATTAAAGCCAACCTTTTCGCTTTTTGGGGAAGGAATTATTTTTAAAACCTGTGATAATTCCTCAAGTAATTTTCTCCATTTTCTTCCAATTATATGAGGCCTCCTTATACTTTAAATAATTCATTTTCAATGATATTCAAAATCAGACAAAACCCTGGGAATTCCACAATTTCCTCCAAGGGCATTTTCGTCATTTTTAGCCTCATACAGGCCTCTGAACCTTATTCTTATTTTTCTAGAAGTGTTCAGGCCTTAACATACCATTTCTCATTTTCTAGGATTTTTCTGGTATTGTCGGGCATAATTTCTATTTTCACCTTTATAACCCAAAACTTTGTAAAATTACAATTATGCCCCTGGTTTGGCTTAACCTCAAAATTCACCTCATTGAGGCCTCCAACATAACCTTTGGCCTGCATTTATCTCTATTTCTCATTCTTGGGCTCTGAGACTTCTTCTGAGTCTCTAATTTCCTCTTTTCTCAGTCTCAGAAAACTTTCCTTTTACGATTTAGTCCCTAGAAATCCCTCTGTCCCTCCAGGGAACCTCTAGGACCTCTGCCAAAAAAGGTTTGGTAGTCTACCTAATTCAGACTAATTTTATTACTTCTAGACCCAAAATCTGGGATGTTACAAGAATGGATTATTAGATTGATGATTCTGCTCCTTGAAATATCAGACAAAAAGCAGTACTTTGAAAAATGCTTGTTCTTAACCTTTTTCCTTTTAGTAAATATTTGTATTATAGATTGTTTGTGTATTGAATGTATCTTATAACGTTAATATTATTCAACCTTTGCTTTTAGACGTAAGAATTGTACACCGCGTTGCTTTTAATTCTTTTCACGTAAATAACGTGATTATGTTTTACTTCCTTTTAAATTTATTGTATAGACATATCTTCTTTTTAACTAGACTGTCAATATACACCAAAATATTACATATATAGACACAGGCAAACACACACACACACACACACACACACACACACACACACACATAAAGTGGTATTATTTACATGTATCTTTTTGAGACGGAATACATACAATCAAATTATTAAGACTAAAGACTTTTTGAATTACTCTCTCAAATTAGACTGAATCAATGAAAATGAAAATGTGGTCCAAGAAAAAAAATTTCATTTCATAAAGTGATAAAGAATCTTTCTTATCACTAACGTATATTTTGGGTTACTTTGTGGGTTATACAATACAGTCGTAATAAAAATATGATCTTGATGTAATAACATACTATTTGTAGAGTCAAAATTTCTCCTCATCATGAATGTAATTTTCTTCCTCTTTTGTTACATCAACTTCTTTTTGGGGATAACTTAGTGTGTGAACACTCAACCAATAATATATATATACTAGTAATTGTTTTTCAAACTAACATTTTTATTATTTGTTATACTCGCAAATTTTTTATCAAATGATAATTTCCTATCAAATTAAGACTAATGCAATGAAAATGAAAAGGTGTGTGGTCTAATAACTGAAATTACACTTGATAAAATGAAAAAGCTTGTTCTCATCACTAACATATATTTTGGGATACATTGTGGCCTTACAATATGGTGATAATAAAAACATGGTTTTTGATATTATAATACCCCACATGTAGGGTGAAAAATTCTCCTCATTACTTAATTGTCTTTCACTTTCATTGCATCGACGTAACATTTGAAAAGTCTATCATGCAATGTGCCTACCCTTTTGAGGTGGATGGGTGAATGAGTCCTTTACATTAAAAAAAAAAATATATTCAGTTATTGAGTTTGCAGAAATATTGTTCTATTTATTTTGGCATTTTTTTTTAAAATCCGCATAATCTGTTTATATATCTATTTTTAGCTTGCCAAACGTATCATTAGTTCACGCCCCTCCCTACAATTTATAAATCAAAGTATCAATAAATTCAATCTCTGGTTACATATTCATCTATTAATAATATTAAAAAACCATGCAAATATTTAAAATGCGCAGAGAGCGAGAGAGATTACAGTTTAAGGACCTTGGGTATTTTTATAAATGCACAAAATATCAAAGATATAAAACAGATATCTTTATGTGCTGGCCAAATAAAAACTGTATAATATCTATAATTTATGTTGTTAAATTAAATTTTTAACTTTTTAAAATTACGACATTATTTTCAAAATGAAAAAAATTTCTCAAGTCCCTATGCCAATGATTAATCTGCCTTTTAGCCGAACTCAAATATTATCATGAGAGATGCCTTTTTGCCATTTGGGCATGGCATTGTGTTTATGTGCCTTACCTTTTCTTGGCAACGGAGGGAGAGAGGACGTGTGATGAAAAGAGAAACCTGTCTAATTATTAAGAGACAGGGAGGAAAATTTCCTTTGGTCTACTGAAAAAATGGGAGAAATCAAAACATATTAACCGTGGAGCTTCCATATTTAATTTTCTGCAAGACATGTAATGCTAGTATAGTACTCTTCATATAAGTAAAGGAACAATGTATCCACACAAACTTCTTCTTACTAACATAGTTTTGCGGTATTCTCTCTTACGTACTAAGAAGTGAAATTAAATTACATTTTATAAGGTGACAAAACTTATTCTTATCACTAATGTATATTTTGGACTACTCTATGACCTATACAACGTCGTAGTAATAAAAATGTTGTCCTTAATGTGATAACAAACCACTTGTAGGGTTGAAGTTTTTCCTCATCACTAACTTAATTTTCTTTCTTTTTCATTGCATCAATTTTTTTTTTTGGAGATAATTTATCGTTTGAAAAGTCAATGCATGTGCCTATACTTTTGAGGAGAATGAATGAGTCATTTTTATTTTAGAAAAAGTAACTTCATAATTAAATTTAGTTATATGAATTTATTGTTCGCAATCAATTTTTCTAATCTCTAATTTCTAGATTAGGTAAGAAGAAACATTATCGACACAAGGTTTCAACAAAGACTCGAAATACTGACTCCATCATAGCCTTCGATCTCATGTTTGCTTTCTATAATTTAATATATTAATATTCACAGTTGTCCAAAAAATATATATAAATTTACGCAATAAAGTTTGTAATAATAAATTGCGCTATTTACAAATTAGGAATAATATAACAATTAAAGCATTTCTCTAGTTGTCCATCTTACAAACCATGCATCGAAACATATCGAGCATCTCTTCCTTTTTCAAACCATGCCATTTTTAGCAAGTTTTCGAAATAATAGTAGGAAAAAGCTTCCATATAATTGGCAAAATGTAAAATAGAAATAGTCATTTCTGAAAAATCTGTTATCTTTTTTTTTTCCCGGTAGGCAAAATCACACAAAATGTCCATGCTGATATAGTACTCTTCATATAAAATCTCTCATTCTCCACAATCTCTCTTTATTTCACAATCTCATCTCATACTGATATAATATATCTGTGACTTTAAAAGCTCCACTTAGGCTTGAAAGACCAACTTCATGCTTATCAAAAACTAAAATTCATGACAAGTTCAGTGAAATAAATGACAAGTTTAGTAAAGCGAACGACAATTTCTGATAAGCAATTCATCGAAATTTAAGTTTCTGTGTTAAAATGACATAATTTTTAGATTTTTTTAGCAGATGACAATTTTTGATAAGCAATTTATGATAAGTTCAGTAAGGTGAATGACAAGTTTAGTATGGCAAACGACAGCTTCTGATAAATAATTCATAGAAATTTAAGATTCTGTATTAAAATGACAATTTGCACAATTCCTTGGTCAATAACAAGTTTAGCAAGACAAATGACAACTTTTGATAAGCAATTCATAAGAATTTAAGTTTCTGTATTAAAATGACATAATTTCCAAATTTCTTTAGCAGATGACAAGTTCTGATAAGCAATTCATGACAAATTCAGTAAGGTGAATGACAATTTTAGTAAGCCGAACGATAACTTCTGATAAGTAATTCATAGGAATTTAAGATTCTATGTTAAAATAACAAGTTGCATAATTCCTCAGCAAATGACAACTTCTAATAAGTAATTCATAGGAATTTAGGTTCTTGTTTTAACATGATAAAATTTTCAGATTTCTTTAGCAGATGACAAGTTTTGATAAGCAATTCATGATAAGTTCAGTAAAACGAATGATAAGTTTACTAAGGTGAATGACAACTTCTGATAAGCAATTCATAGAAATTTAAGTTTCTGTGTTAAAATAACAGAATTTTCACAATTCCTTGCCGAATGACAAGTTTGGCAAGACAAATGATAACTTCTGATATGCAATTCATAAGAATTTAAGTTTTTGTGTTAAAATGATAGAATTTTTAGATTTTTTTAACAGATGACAAGTTCTTATAAATAATTCATGATAAGTTCAGCAAAATGAATGACAAGTTTAGTAAAGCAAATAACAACTTCTGATAAGCAATTTGAAACATCCTACCTTTAATTCCTTAGAGTATGCATTTGAAAGCGTTATGATTTAAGTGATTCACAAAACAAGCTCGTACATTGAACTTTATGATTAGTTCTTGGGTTACTGTTTACTGATTAAATTTTAGATTTTTGGTCCAACTTTGAAAAATCATAACTAAATGTAGAAAAATCGTATTGAGGTGGTTCAAAATTCTATTTAAAGCTCCTCCAGTTCTCTACACAGAAAAATATCATTTTGGTCTCGAACCTTGCCAATTCGTATAGTTTATTTATTGAAATTTACTGTTTATTTGGTCAAAACTGTACTTTCTGGTTCCTTTGTCCTAACTTGATTGAGCATAACTCTTAGCACATACATCCATTTCAAGTGATCTATCACTTGTTTTCAAGCTTAGGATGTGTGATCTAATTATGCCAAGTTCCATAGGCAGAATCAATCATTTACCTCACTTCCACTTTGTTGCCAATTCGTGGCTTATTTAGGGACCTTCTATTCCCTTATCTCAATTCGATATTTTCTAATAAATTCTTTCCTTATGATTTGCCATGCTATTTTTGCACATAACATTACCATTCATCTTCTCACTTCATATTACATGCCATAAGCATTTATAAATATAATACAGGATACATAGCATAATGGAACATCAATCCACATTATGGGTTACATAACATGACATGTTATGATAACATGGTAACTCTTCCTTCCTTCCATCAATTTTGCCTCCTTACTTCTTGACTTCTTCTTCATGCTCTTTATACCTATTAGGGGTTGTTAAGGGAGGGTGAGATTCGAGAGAACTACCCATAAGCATGCAAGACATAATGCACATGTATGACATGTTACAACATTAGAATATGAATGCCATGGAAAGTAAGCTAAAGCATTTCATGCTTTCATAACATATTGCCAAGACAAAACACAACATAAATTTGCAAACATTTCATCATAGCTTAGTCACATCATGGCAACACAACCACATCATGCAAGCATACATATCAAGCACACATTATAGGTAAGTTCACTACCTTGTAACATGGCTTTCCTCTTGCTTTTCCTTTAGCTCTCTTATTCTTTCAAGCACATGAGCCTTCGGTTAGTGTGCGCAAACATCCTCTAGGATGTCTCAAGGTCCTAAACCAATCAATACATTACACAAAACATTAATTAGAACCAAGACACCAATCTACCCTTACTTGGTTCTTTCTTGGATATACTTTAAACTTAACTTTTGAGTTTCAATTCCAATCTTTCTAAAATCATTTCCACATGCTATTCCCACATAATTTTGCATGTAGAATCTATTTCCAAGCTCAAAACAATCAAAATCCAACTCCTTCCCCCTTAAACAAAATTTGGCCGAACACTATGGGTTAGGAATCCAAAATTTCCATTTTCAATTCTAATACTTCCAAACATGTTTTCTCCATATATCCCTACACAAAATCATCATTTAAACTCATAGGAAGCATAAAAAATCATCAAAATCCAATCCGGACACCTAGAATCAGTCAGAACTGAAATATTACATAAGTTATGGGGAAGTTGGATTTTTTACAAAAACAACTCAAAACCACTTAATTCTTGTTGTTTTCAAACCCTTAAACGATTACCTAACATCAATATCATCATATCCTAATCCAATCAAATTCGTGTAGCACCTTAGCCTAGGTTTTCAACCATCAAAAACTCAACCAAACCAACATTCAATCTCAAGAATAGCAAGGGGATCAAAAACCACATCAAAAACCATGAACATACCTTGTTTTAGAGTTGATCTTGCATGAGACCACTTGACCTTTCTTTCTCCCTCTTCTTTCTCTCACTAGAAACCATTTTACTAGAGTTTTCTCATAGGTATTGGACAAAAATGAGGGGTGGGGAGGGGGTATTTATAGAAAACAAAACTGAATTTGGACCATTGATCTTAAAAATATATGGCTTAATTTGGACCGTCCATTTTCTCTTTTAATCTTATGATGACAAGTGTCCCATGACATCATGCTTACCCCATCATGATGACATTATGCTTACATCTACATGCTTTTAATCTGACCGTACACGTGTCTTGCATCCAGCCGTACACATAATACATTTTTTCTCATCTAACTATACACTTGTCTCCTCCATATTCCTTCATTATTAAGGCATTAAAATAGGGAAGAAATTGATATAAAATTCATGCAAAATACAACCCTTAGGCATTCCTCCACCTATCTTGCTATTCTGCATCGTATAGGGTACTTTTTAGGGTCCTGACTTTCTCGGGACCATCGGGATATGTTATGGCACTATTTTTTCACCTCAAATAAATCCACATGGCATTATATAAGATGCCCAAAGAGAGAGTGAGGCTCTTCCCTTGTTCTTCCATTAAAATAATTAAATAATTAATAATATTTATTTCAGAGTGATCTTGACCGAATTTTTTCTATTGGTCCGCAACTCCAAGAATCTATCTTTGGGTACCAATACTATTTATTCATCATAGGGAATTCCTCTAATTTTTCTTAAGTCAAAAGTCAATCTCTAAACATTTGACTTTGACTTTCCCCGGATAGTACATAAATAGGCTTTAAATTCCATTAAAGCCAACCTCTTCACTTTCTGAGGAGGGAATTATTTTTAAAACCTGTGATAATTCCTCAAGTAATTTTCTCCATTTTCTTCCAATTATATGAGGCCTCCTTATACTTTAAATAATTCATTTTCAATGATATTCAAAATCAGACAAAACCCTGGAAATTCCACAATTTCCTCCAAGGGCATTTTCATCATTTTTAGCCTCATATAGGCCTCTGAACCTTATTGTCATTTTTCTAGAATTTTTCTAAGATATTTAGGCCTTAGCCTACCATTTCCCATTTTTTGGGATTTTCTGGCATAATTTTTATTTTTGCCCTTACCAGCCTAAAACTTTGCAAAATTATGATTTTGTTCCTAGTTTGACTTAACCTCAAAATTCACCTCATTGAAGCCTCCAACATAGCCTTTAGCCTATATTTATCTCTATTTCTGATTTCTGGGTCTCGAGACTTCACTAGAATCTCTGACCTTCTCTTTTCTTAGTCCCAAAAAACTTTCCCTTTGCAATTTAGTCCCTAGGAATCCTTCTATCCTTCTAGGAAATCTCTGGGACCTCTGTCAAAAAGGGTCTAGTAGTTTACCCATTTCAAGCTAATTCTGGTATTTCTAGGGTCAAAAGTCAGAATGTGACACAATTCATACAAATTTAAGATTCTGTGTTAAAATCACAGTTTCTGCAATTAGCCATTTGAATTCAAAAGAGTGGTAGAAAATCATGTTTGAAAAATATTATGAAGTTACCAACAAAAAATAGGAAAATCACGTTTGCATTCAAATAATTTTATATCATAGCTCAATCATTTACATATGAAAATTAAAACTAATAACCTCTTTGATTATCAAATAGTAACAGCAAGCTCAAAATTGCTATCCATTTCAGTGGCAGCTTCAACATTTATAAGGAACTTACACTAAAATCCATGTTTTCCAAAACTTTCATGATGATTGTCGCATTACTACTTGCCAACCCTTTCTCATCCTTACCGTTGACGTCACTACCTTCTGACCCCACTGTAAACATCGCCACTCCTTCTCCTCTGATCCCAATTCCCAACTCCTTGTAAATCCCTTAAATCCCAAAAGCCTCCTCCATAATCCTTAAAACCCTCTTCCAATCCTACCCTAATGCACCATCACAATTCCAAGTACTATAAACCTATCAAAGATGGTGTTATTACATCGATCAGTGAAGGTAAAGCCACTAGCAAAGAGAAGGACGAAGAGAGAGAGGAAAAGAAGAAGGAAAGGGAAAGAGAACTAGAGAGGAAGAGAAAAAAAGAAGCGCATTTTGGACATTTCATCATCATTTCATATTGGCAATATAGGAGTGGGTCTTCTGAAGCCATTTTTTATATTGAGGAACCCATTTAGCAATTTCACATATTGGGAGGTCATTATTTTAGTTTTTGGTCTTTCTAAATAATTATAATTTTTAAGATCCTCCTTGATAAATACCACTCCCTTTAGGTCCTTTATTTCAATTTTTCAATTAATATCTTTATTTTTGTATAGGGGTATTGCAATTTACTTATTACTTCTTTTGGTAAGGGGACTTTAAGTCTTCGATTGCAAATCTCTGCAGTTTGGGTTGTGATTCTTCAAAGATGCAGTTTGTTTGATTAAATGGAAAATTATTCATATGAACCACATTAGAAAATTAAATATATAGAGGCCTTCAGAAATTCACTTTTTTCTTTACAAATTTTACATTTTACAAATTGATTTACTTATAAGTATGAAATTTTACCTTGTAAATATCAATTTTTTTGCCTGATTTTCTTACATGAAATTTATGCCTAATTTTTCATTGATGACAAATAACAATCGCCATTATTTATTGGGAAGACATTTTTACAAGTAGTTACAATTCTACTTCAAAATTTTCAACATCCCACTAGTAGCACCAACAATAGTAATAGTAGTAGTCATGATAGTAGTGGTAGTAGTTGTAGTGATTGACAAATAACAATCACCATTATTTATTGGGAAGACATTTTTACGAGTAGTTACAATACTACTTCAAAATTTTCAACATCCCACTAGTGGCAGCAACAATAGTAATAGTAGTAGTCATGATAGTAGTGGTAGTGGTTGTAGTGGTTGACAAATAACAATCGCCATTATTTATTGGGAAGACATTTTTACAAGTAGTTACAATACTACTTCAAAATTTTCAACATCCCACTAGTAGTAGCAACAATAGTAATAGTAGTAGTTATGATAGTAGTGGTAGTGATTATAGTGGTTATAGTGGTAGTAGTGATTGTAGTGGTTGTAGTGGTAGTAGTGGTAGTGGTGATAGTGGTAGTGGTAGTAATAATAGTTGTGAACACATTTTTTCCCTGCAAAAATGCTACTTTTTTTGAGTTCAATATGTATATGCTTTGGGAATTTTAAAAACACACGGTGATAGTATGTGCGCGCGTTGCTAACAGATATTTTAGATATGTGTATGTAATATCTATGGATCAATTTTAAGTCCATCTTTTACAATGTTATTGCAACCAACATTCAGCTACCACATTGATATTAAATTAAATAACATAAATGGAAATTCCAATCAAAATATTGAAATTTTTAAGCAAAGAATTTACAGAAAATATCTTGCGCTTTATCTTTTTTAGTGACAAAAATATCTTGTCGTAAGACCCTTTTACGCAGGCAACAACATATTCAGACCCCTTCTAGTAAGGCTAGGTCAGTTTTTCAAAAAAGAAAAGAAGATATTTAAAGAATGAACAATGAAATATAACCAAAAAAATTATTTTATATATTAAAATTGACATACATTTGTTTGGTCTCCAAATACAAAAGGTAATCAAATATGACTAAAACATGCTGCTTCAACGAAAAATAAAACATCGTTCGTTTCTATTAGATATTGTTTTGGTTGTTTTTTTAGCATCACACAATGTTATTTTTTCTTGTAGAAGAAAAATAATTTTTTACAAAATAATTTGATATTAAAATATATGATGTTAATGTCAATATAATTTTTCATTATGATATTTAATTTGATTGTAATCATGATACATTTTGATATAAGAATAAGGGTGTTTTAATCATTCATATATTTACTCATTTTCTTTCCTTCCTATTTTTGATTGTCTATCCAAACAGGAGGGGTGATAATATTTTTTTCTCCCATTTCCTCTTCTCCCCATTTTCTCTCTTTCCATTTTCTTTCTTTCTTCCCATCCAAATGGAGAGTAACCGCTAGAATGATTTTCATTTCAACAATAAAATTCAAACCCCTTGCTCCGTTAACGTATGTGCCATCCTATATTCATATAAACTAAACCAAATTTAATTTTGTTAGGATGTTATCCCTCAATATAATATTTCAAAATGCTTAAAAAAAATTGCGGATAATGTTCCCTTCAAGTCTGTGGTGTAGAAATTGTATCATCATCGAGTGTCTGTGTCTTTTAAAATATACATACAAAAATACATGCTCTTTTTTGCCATATACAATATATGAAATCTGGAAAAAAAATTAAATTATGAACTATTCATGTGTTTTTGAAGTCAATTGTTGTATTTTCCTTTGGGTAAACTAAAACGGTATTACCGAATTAAAATTACAAACACACACGCACATGTGAGTTGTTTCGTGTGAAATGGAATGTGACTTTGAGGTCTAATTACAAGTCAAGCAGTCCATCTACCAATGCTTCCATCTAATGAATTAAAGATTGTAGACTTTTGATAGATATGCTGTGAATGGTAAGGACAATATGTCGATGCATGCTTCTTCTCAATAGTAATTAATGTCCTTTTGGAGGTATCATATATATATATATGGCCTACAAGATTGACCATAAATGAAATAATGCCAAGAAAATGAAAATGTGGCCCAAGAAGTGGAATTATATTTTCTGAAGAGACGACAAAGTTACGCTCTTCTCATTACTCATAACCTATTTTATGGGGTTACTTTATAACCTATATAATGAAAATGATAATGAAAATGTGGTCCTTAATTATGTGATAACAGACCACTTATAGGATCAAAACTTTTCTTCATCACTGACGTAATCTTCTTAGCTCCCTTATTTAATCAACTTGTTTTGGGAACAACTTTAATGTGTGAATAGTCTACCGTACCAATTTCATTTATGCTCAACTATTTGTTGGGTTATTAACATGGATATATTTTGATTTAGTGTTTGGTCAATGTCTTTGTTTGGCTAGCCTTAAAGAAATTCAGCTTTTACTTGTATATCCATTTTGGAGATCTTAATTTTTTTATAGGGTAAGGGTGCATCAAGTATCCTAAAGTATTTTGTGGTTTGTCCAGTACTTTAAAATATTTTCTAGGTGCATCTAGACTCCAACATTCTAAAGTATTTCTAAGTACAATTTTACACTTAGCTTTTATTTATAAATTTATTTTTGTGGATGTATTTTCATTTTGAAAATTCCCTAATTAAAATAAATTGAAGGCTCAATTTAATAAAATAGATTATACGCTCGTTGAACAATTGCAAATTGAGACTACATCGAAATTAATATTTTAAAAAAATAATATTGGTTTACAGTCATAATACTAAAACTGTACGTAACATATTTTTATTTATATTGTTGTGACAAAAGATACTATATTCTCTGTTTTTTTTTTAGCAACAAGAATATCTTCTCATCCTTATACCCATTTTTTCTACGCTACTTTTTCAGACCCCATTAAAGCACCAGAGTCCAGATTATAGATCAGTTACGCCAGAAGGAAAAAGAAAGAAAAAGAATAAGACGATCAGGAAAGAATGAACAATAAAAATTAACCCAAAAAAAAAACACGTTATTCAAAGTTGTACCTGTTTGGTTGGTTTCCAAATACATAACAAGTTATTAAAGAAGACAAAAACATACCTCCTCAAGTAAAAATTAAAGATTGCCGGTTTTGTTACATTTTTAAATTAGTTATATCGTCCACAAAATATTTTCATCACAATGTTGGCAAAAAGAATTTTAATAAATTTAATCATAATATGTCAGTACACATCAAACTTTAAGGGGTGTTTAAGTCATATTTTTTTGCCACATACTTTAAAAATCCTGCCATAAGCATATCTTCGAAGGCTTCTGACAATACCGCAAAAAGTGCTTTCTTAACTTCTTTTCCTCTTAGTAAATATTTAACCTTTAGATTGATTATGTAGTGAATGAATCATATAACTTTAACATTATGCAACTCTTCTCGGCTTTTAGACATAACAATTTTGCACAGCTAGCATTGCTTTGAATTCTTTTCATGCTAATTCTGTGATATGTTTTGCTTCCTTTCAAAACTATTGTACATGCATTATTTCCTCTTTTTTTTTATTAGACAATCACTATGCAACATCAATATATATATAGTATTTATATATAGCGGTATTATTTAGGTGTATTATTGACGTAAACTAAGGGGTATTTTAATTTTAAACCAAGATGATACTACTAAAATAAAATATTCATATACGAGGAGATAATTAGAGGCAGCTTCTTATGAAATGGAGAGTAAGACTGAGGTATGCACCAATCAAATTTAGACCTTTTTTTTTTTTTACCAGAATCAAATTTAGACATTGGATATATATGTTTGTGGAGGGATAATGTATCCACGAAAGCTTCTCACTATCGTTCTTTTGGAGTATTTTCTCTTATCAGACTAATGCAATGAAAATGAAATTACATTTTGTAAAGCAACAAATCTTGTTCCCATCACTAATGTACATTTTGATTACTTTGTAGTCTATATAATACTGTGTGATAATGAAAATATGGTCTTTGCTATGATAATGAACCACTTGTGGGGTTAGAACTTCTCCTCATTGCTAACTCAATTTTCTTTCTCTTTCGTTCCATTTGGGACAACTTAATGTTTGAAAAGCCTATGCTTTTGAGATAGATCCGTGGATGAGTGAGTCCTTTTCATTAAAAAAAAAATAACTTCATAAATATTTAGTTATTGAGCTTGTGGAAATATTATTCTTGTTATGAATATAATAATATCTATATGGATGTCCATATATCTCCCATTATCTCCTAATATCTCCTATAATCTCCAATATCTCCCATTATCTCTATATCCCACAATTATCTTCTATTATTATGTAATTTGTAGATTCTATTAAAGATGTAAAGCTATGTCTATAAATAAAGATCATGTATCATGTATTTAGCAACCCTTGAATGGAATGAGAAATATTCTCTCTTGTTGATCCTCTCTTCTTCTTTGCTATTCTTCTCTATTTCTTCTTTATTTATAACACGTTATCAGCAGGAAGCTCTAACCAAGGTACGTATGACATACCTTTGATTCTTAGCATGACTTTAAGAGTATCATCTCTATGATTTTTTTTCCTAAAGTATCGTTTGCTTTATTCAAATGAAAATATCTTGAACATTGTATATATGGTGTTTCAAAGTATTTGTATCTATAATCGATCTTCTAGGGTAATCTCAGCCATTATATGGGTAAGTCACATCCATTATGTTTTTTGATAGTTGCAAGATCTTTAGATATGGACTAAAGATCAATTTAAACCTCCAAAAAGTGATGAATAAACACTTGGTTCAAAAGTGCCATATCTTATTGTCACTAAGGCCCTTATAAGTCTATCTAGCCACACAAAACCTGATATATCATTTGCTAATTAGCATGATATAGTTTTTTTAATCAATATGAAGATGTTGGAATGAAGTTAAAAACATTTTTTGTTACTTTAAGGGTACTGTGAAGGTAATATTATTTTATCTGAAGGTATCCAAGACTAATTTTACTGGCTATTAGATAGAGTATTCTTATTTGATCCTCATGTCAAGGGATCACAGTATAACCCATGTATGGGTAAACCATAAAAAGACTATTTGTCTCATGATTTTCAGAAGATTATAGAATTAATATTTGACGTTTTTATTTCACTACAATATTTGGAAGGCTTGTTTGTTATATTAGACTTTGCAGGCTCGAAAATATCATCTAATGTTGCCAAGAGGGGGAGTTGATACACGCTGTACTCTTTTTTTCTTGTCTATGGTTTTGTCCCACTGGGTTTTCTTAGCAAAGTTTTTAACAAGGCAGCATTGCATAGTATATCACTGAATGATATACTCTTTTTCTTCTGCTAGGTTTTTGTCCCACAGGGTTTTTCCTAATTAAAATTTTTTAATGAGACACATTCATATATACTAGACATCCAAGGGGAGTGTTGTGAATATAATAATATCTTTGTAGATGTCCATGTATCTCCCATTTTCTCCTAATATCTTCAATTATCTCTATATCCCACAATTATCTTCTATTATTATGTAATATGTAGATTCTATAAAAAATGTAAAGCTATGCCTATAAATAGAAGCAATGTATTATGTATTTAGCAACCTTTGCATGGAATGAGAAATACTCTTTCTCGTTGATCCTCTCTTCTTCTTTATTATTCTTCTCTATTTCTTCTTTACTTGTAACAGTTTTGTTTATTTTGAGATTTTTTTTAAAAAAAAATCCATATAATCTATTCATATATTTATTTTTGGCTTGCCTAAATTATCATAATTCATGACTCTATAAAATTTATATATCAAATTATCAATAAATTCAATTTAATTACATATTCATCTATTAATAATGTTTAAAAAAAAACCTTTAGAATATTCAAAATTCAGAGGGAGGGAGGTAGGGGGAAGAGTTCCTCAACGTTTAAAGACTTCGGCTATATTCATAAATGCACAAAGTATGAAAGATAAAAAGTGATATTTATGTGCTGGCCACATAAAACCTGTGACATCTATGATTTGTATTGTTAAACTAAATTTTAAATTTTTGAAAGTTAAACACTAACTTCAAAATGAAAAAAAAAAAACTCAAGTCCCCACACTAATAATTAATCTTCTATTTATGTGGGTGTCTTGACTTGGCAACAGAGGGAGAGAGAGGGAGTGCAATGAAAAGAGGAATCAACGTTTTTGTCTGTCTAATTATTAAAAGATAGAGAGAGATTTCTTTTGGTTTACTGAGAAAAATAAAATTGTTGGCTTTATATATTTATAGAGTAACTAAATAAGTTCTTAACCAATTAGGCGTCGATATAGAGGTCGATGATTCAGATTTTCCCAGTGTATCCCAATATACATAAAGTTGTATTATTTACTTGCATTTTTAAGTGTTATTTTTCTTTGGACCAAGATGATATCAACAAAATAAAATATCCATACAAGAGGAGATATTTAGAAGTAGTTTCTTACCAAATGGAGTGTGATGTCTTTGACGCGTATGTTTCTTCTTACCGACGTTCTTTTGGAACTCTCATATTAGACCAAATCAATGAAAATAAAAATGTGGTCTTCCATGTGATACCAGACTACTTGTAGATTAAAATTTATCCTTCTCACTGATGTCATTTTCTTTCTTTTTCTATTTTCTTTTGTGGATGACTTAATGCTTGAAAAGTCAACCACTAATATAAATATTTACACACACATTAGTAGTTAATAATTTGTATACTAACATTTTTATTATTTGCTCTACTCGCAAATCTTTTATCAAATGATAATTTTAATATTCATATGTATTAAAATATGCAGTAGTTTCCTTGAATAATTAGCTGCAAGCTTATAAAAATATGCGTAAATTGATTAATTGAATTGACCACATGTAATGGGAAAGAGGAATAATACAAAACACAAATTTCTTTCATCAATTTAGATTTCATGCCTGGTGGTTAATTTGAAGAAAAGAATAACTGTCTCACCCAAAAATTAAAAACAATAGAAAAGAAAATGCAAAAATATTGAAGTAACAATGTATCCATGTACGCAAGCTTCTTTTCAATAATAAAAGTGCGGTCCCAGAAATGAAATTGTTCAACACGCAGTGAAATTAAAGGGCAAAGCTTCTCCTTATTTCATAGCCTGCCACACGCGACCACAAGCAAAATAATTAATTTTTAGTTGAATTTCTTCTAACCTTATCACGAAAGATGTCCTTTTCCAACTAGGCAATTTGTTTGATTTGGAATCAAAGAAGTATAAAACGCCGTGTATGTTAATTCCTGGATGCAGAATACTTGAGATTTTGACAAGTCTGATATGCTACACATAATGGGAAGACCTTCTTCCTTTGTTTTCCTCTTCTTACTCCATTCCTTCATGGCCTCCTTAGCTTGGAGTGATACAAATATCACTACCGACAAATCTGCACTTCTTGCCTTTAAATCCTTTATCATTTCAGATCCACACAATTTCTTAGCTAATTGGTCTGTCTCTTCTTCTCCATGCAGCTGGATTGGTATCACATGCAATACTCGTCATGGAAGAGTCCACTCCTTGAATCTTGGTGGCATGGATCTTAAGGGTACCATATCTCCACAACTAGGAAATCTCTCGTTCCTTGTTGAACTTGACCTTAGTGACAATGATTTTCATGATCAAATACCAAACGAGCTAGTTAAATTGCGTAGATTGGAACTACTCAATTTGAGCTACAATGACTTTCATGGACAAGTTCCAGTATGGATAGAAGATTTATCTTCACTTGAGCAATTACATCTTCAAAATAACAGTCTTAGTGGATTTATTCCACCATCTATATTTAATCTGACACTACTAGACACCTTGGATTGGAATGATAATTTACTTCAAGGGACCATTCCACTCGAAGTGGGAAGACTTGAGCGATTGAAGATTTTACGTCTTGCGGGTAACAAGCTTTCAGGAAACATTCCCCAAACAATTTCCAACTTATCTTCACTTGAGTTATTGAGTTTGTCTTATAACAGTTTGTCAGGTATGTCCTTGATTATTTCTAATATTTATATTTGTTTTTGTTTTAAAGTAGCGTATTTGGTTAGCATAATCTTATCCTAGTTCTCTTGATTGTTTTTAATTTTTAATTTTTTTGTTATTTTTATGAATTTTTTTAATTTTGCCAACATTTTTCTATTATTTTTTAAAGGGAAAAAACCACTCATCATCAAAATCATGAAACGGTTTATACAGTCACGCCACAAGTGTCATAACATATATATCTAATAATGGGCTTGTCATAAGTTTTTGAAAATATGTGCTTATTATTCTGCCATTAAAAAGTTTTAAATGGTTTTTTCAAGTTGAGTAAACCTTAGAACAAAATATTTGGAACATTTAATTTTGAATGGGATAATCTAATTTTTATTTTTATTAATAATTATTGTTGTTTAAAAAAGTTTTAGAGTTAACAGAAATAATTTTTCTGGGAGTCTCCCAAAAAACGGGTTTTGATAGGAATGATGAAAAGGAAGGACCGATTGGATTTCAATATATTTCTTAATGTCAATCACCATGAGTCCATCCAATGGATTTAATCAATGGCTATTGGCCTTGATGAAGAAAAAGGGTTATACTTTTTAAATAATAATTGTAGTTGTGGTTTATCATTTAGAATATATTTTTGTTATTTTTCAAAAAATGTGCAACTCTTACTGTATTTTAATATATATATATATATATATATTGTCTCATGTATATAATAACTTGTCACACTAAAAAAAAAACTTTGTTATTGAGATTGGAGATCTTTCTCAACTAAAATTATTGTATCTTATCTTTATGAAAAGTAAAAATACAATATATGTGGGAATCAGCTTAGTGATTTAATTACGTGGTTGCATTAAATTATATTCCAATATTTCACAAGATATTGCTGAATAATGATTTTGCTAAATTGCTTTTAAAGACATGGAATATGATGCTTTCCTTCAATCACAAAGTGAATATGAATAAAATTAAAATGGTATACTTTTCAGAATCTATGAGTACCATGTGTGCTGATGCATCTAATACTGTGCTTTTTCTTCTTTTTTTTTTTAACTCTTTGGAATAGAAATAAATTTGAACTCTGATTTGCTTCCCATCCTTTAGTTCATATTATAAGTTTCACACACATGTAAATGTGAGGTCATAAGTTGCTTAAAAAATCTCTAAAAAATATTGGATCTAAAAAACATGGAAAATAACGTGAGAAGGATGATGACAAATTTTCTTAAATTTTCCATCACTTTGGATCCATATAATTTCTTGGCTTATTTGTCTTTACCAGTTTGTTAGATATGTTTTAGAGAAATCCGGGCTTGTCTCGATTGTTTTTTTTAAAAAAAAAAAATATTTCTGTGCATTTCTTTTTTTTCCAGTATTTTTCTATTCTGTTTTAAATAAAAAAATTGTCAACCAATTTTTAAAATGGATAGTGAAGTCATAAACCATGGGCAAAAGAATATTGTTATAAACTTACAATATCAGTCCAAACGGATCTAAAAGCTCATAATCAGTCTTCGAAAATAAATGTTTATTATTTCGTTATTAAAAATTTTCTGAAGTTTTTTTTCCCCCAAAAATGAGTAAGCCTTGCAAAAAGCATATTCGGAACATTTAATTTTTATTTAAACAATCTAAATTGTGTATCATATTTATTTTTAAAAAATTGTGTAGTTAACAAAAATAGTTTTTCTTGGAGTCTCATGATGGAAAGCATGGGCTAATTGAATTTCGATGTATGTCTTGGTTTGTTTCTATAATCAGTTAATCGAAGAAACCCATAATCTTATCAGAATTCATGTGTAATGGGCCTTGTGGAATAACCCAATATAGTCATCATTTTTTTTTTCAGTAAATCACAAATCAGAACAGAAGATTTGTTTCTCTGGAATAGAAATAAATGTGAACTGAGATTTTGTTCTCCGTCAGTTAGTTCATGTCATAAGTTTCACACACATGTAAAGGTGGGGTCATAACTTGCTTAAAATTAAAATCTTCATAAATTGGTAAAATATTGAATCATTAAACAGGAAGCCCCATAAAAAATAACCTGACAAGGATGATAAAAAAGGGTTAGCTAGGATTTCAATGTTTTTTCTAGCTTCTAATTTTTCATTTTCCTCTATACTTTCTTTTTAATTGCAAATTTTTTAATTTTTTCTTTTCTAATGTGGAGACAATCCATTCGAATTTATCAAAGCGAGTCTCACATTGATCCAAGAAAAAAACAACATACTGAAAAATAATTTATATTTATATTTATATTTATATGTCATTCAAGGATGGCGGCTCTTTTAAAATGATTAAGATGATGATTCAATGCTCTGAAAATGATTTTAGATAAATAATCGTAGCAGTATTAACAAATTAGCTCAACCTCCATACTTAGGGTCACAGCACGATATTAAAACTTCCATTGATGATATCTTATCTCTTTATGGGGTCTTTAGTAATTAGCTGTTTATACATATTTAGGGATATTTTTAAAACCAACTAATTTTTTTTAATAATTCTGCAAAGCGAAACATGGAAAAAAAATCTAGCGTTTGTTTTTCTCTTGTTAATTGGGTAGAGACGAACATTATTCTACTGATAAATCTGTACTTTTTACTCTTAAATCTTCTATCACTTTGGATCCATATAATTCCTTAGCTCATCTGTCTTTTAACAGTTTGTTAGGTATTTTTAGAGAAATTCTGGCTTGTCTCAATTGTTTTTTTTTAATTTTTTAATATTTTTATGCATTTCTTCTTATTTTTTTTCAGAATTTTTCTATTCTTTTTTAATTAAAAATTCATCATCCAATTTTTAAAATGGTTGGGGAAAAGAATATTAGTCCAAAAGGATCTAAAGGTTCCTCATCAATGTTTGAAAATAAATGTAGTCATTAAAAGTTTCTGAAGGATTTATTTTTTCAAAATAGGTTTGCCTTAGAAGAAACATACTTGGAACATTTAATTTTGTTTTGGATAATCTAAATGAATAATTTTATTTTTAAAAAAATTTTGTAGTTTGAAAGAACTATTTTTCTGGGAGTCTCATGATGAAAAACGAAGGTCAATGGGATTTCCATGTGTCCCTTAGTTTGTTTTCTTAACTTTTATTGGAGGAACTCAATATGAATTAATGAATCCACAAAATCCGAAAAGACAACAAAATGAAGGGAAGTAGAAAACATAGAGTAATGGGCCTTGTGAAACAGCCCATTATGTTTTCTGACATTAAGCTGTCCAAATTTCTCAACAAATCACATGTCCAAATTATTTGGTCTATGGTCAATAGCCCAGCCAAATGAAAAGCGTTATTCCTTTTTATAAATAATAATTGTAGTTGTGTTTTATCATTTAGAATCAATTTGTGTTATTTCTCAGAAACGTGCAAAGTCTTACCATATGTGTTTTGAAAAATACAAATTTGTCTTATGTGCATAATAACTTATTAAAAATCGTTACTGACATTATTCTTTTTGTTTCCCCTCTAATATTTGAAGGGGGCATCCCAAGTGAGATTGGGGATCTTTCACAATTGAAGACATTGTATCTTGGAAATAATCAACTTGCTGGTTCAATACCATCTTCATTATTCAACAATTCAGTGTTGCAAGACTTTGAACTTGGAATAAATAATTTATCTGGCAGTCTCCCAATAAATGTGTGTGTTGGGCTTCCAAAGCTACAAATATTTTATGTGAATGGAAATGACTTGTCTGGCCAAATACCCTCCACTTGGCATCAATGCATAGAATTATTAGAGTTACAATTGGATGATAACAAATTCAACAGAGGAAACATACCAATTGACATTGGAAATCTGACCAAACTTCAGTGGCTATCTCTTTTCAACAGCAACTTGCAAGGTAAGAGTTTTCATTATTATATGATTGTCTTAAATTTTGATAAGTCATGAATTTGCGTTACAAATTTAATGAATAATACTTTTATTAGATTACTTCTAAAGACATGGAACTTGATTCTTTCTCTTCATCCCAAAATGAAATACTGCATCATTGAAAAATAAACTAATCAGCATTTGCACCAATCACATTCCTTCTGTTCTTATTTTTCACTTTCTCCTGCGTTTTCTTATATGTGTCGATAACATATGTTCTTATGACATGTAAATGGAATATATCTTAAATAAAATTAGAAAAATATTATCTACTAATACTATAGAATGATAAAACATTATAAATAGTATAAAAGCTGAATCTTATATGTAATCTTATATATAATATGCTTGTTCTATAATGCTTGCAAAATGTTTTAGCTGAAATTGCTTTAAGAGTGATGAAGATTCTAGTATACATGATATGTTTTACACAATCCATTTTTCTTAACTAATTGACATCAGGAAAAGTTATGTCGTTGCACACAGGGTTTAAAAAACTCAAATGCAAAATATAAATAATTTGCTTCTTCATTTAAAATTGGTGAAATTAATTGCGTTATCTGCCTCTAGCATTTCTTCTTTACAAGAAATTTTAATTTCGAATTATTTGATATTAGAAAAGTCCCTTTTAAATTGCTTTCCAATAAAAACTAAATTATTTCCTAATAATTTTAAAGCCTCTAATTAACACAACTCCATGCATATCCATAATGAGGTTTAAATATAAATAATAATTTACAATCCCAACATATTAAAAGATCAAATTATGAATTGATAGTAGCCTATTATTTTGGTTTTGGTTGAAGATAGTAGCCTATTATTTTTAAGGCAAGTTCTCGACTTGTTATATTTGAGTATTACTTGAGGTTCTTTGGTTATATTTAAGGCAAGTTCTCGACTTGTTTTTAGACATGCCAGAGTTAGTAATATATGAAAATTTTTCTATGGTAGGACAAGTTTAATACTAAAAACAGAAAAGGTTTCAGTTGTGTTTTTTCTTATTTATTAGTAGTACAATAAACATTTATTTAAATAAACTAAGTATAAAATATCAATTGTGAATAATTATAAAGAATTCAATTTAAAAAATTTAAACGCGATAATAATTCAATAAACACAAGTTCAACCGTAGTTGAGAAAAAAAGCTCATAAAAAAGAGAGCTTATAAGATGTTTTAAATAGTCTGATAAATAATTAAACTGTTTTATTTTAAGTCATTCATATTGAAGTGGAAGCATTCAGTACATTCAATTCTTTATAAAATTAAATAAAGCTTTTCACAAAAAAAAAAAATTCCACTAATAGTTTCTTAATAATTTTTTTAATTTGAAATTTAAAAGAAGTATGAAAAATCAACATGAGGGAGAAAGTAGGTGGGATTGCACCCAAAAAAAATGCGGACTCTCACGCGCAAAAAAAAAAAATCCTTCATGCAGAGATAAATTGCTGAAAAGTATTCTAATGTCTTATGCCGTACATGATTAGTTGACAATGCATAAAAATTATAGTTAAACTTAATGCACTCATTTGCAATATTAAAAGGAAAGAAATTTGATGGTTAGAGGAAATTTGCTTTTCCCTTTTAATATTTATGAATTTTCTTTTTTATTTAATGTATATTATATGCAAACAATATTACAATGCCAAAATAAAGAAAAGGTAAGGTCATGGGCTGATGGGACCACTTGATATCTAAAGCATCATTTATATACTCTGATCAATAAAATGGCTCCAGGAATCATTTCTTCGTTACAACAATTTGCAAGGTTATAGTTTTAATTATATGATTTGTCTTAGACCGTGTTGTGTGTTTTTGTTTTTTTGTTTTTGATCTCTCAAATGAAAAATGATTTTAAAATGAGATTCTACTTTTCTTTTCTTTTTTCATTCATAACAGAAATCTTTGGAAAGAGAAATAAAATATAATTTGGATCATTAAAAAAAAATTGGGGAAGCCCTGTAAGAACTGGTCTGGAAAAACTTTGTGGACTATTAATATATGATATGGTGTAATAATCTTTAGGGGTACCTCCCAATTTTTACCCAGCAAAAATGTCTTTAAAAAGAAAAATAAAATTTAATTTTGGATCAGTAGAATAAGTATGTGTTCGCTATCAACATAATGTTTGTTTTTATTTGATGAAAGGAATTGTACTTGAAAAGATTTCCTAATACTTCTAATTCTCTCATCAACATATACATAACTCGTATCTTATCCACTTCTAAATTGAAACAGGTGAAATTATATCCTTAATTTTATGCTTTATCTTCAAAATGTGTAGCTAAAAATATTTAAATTCCTTAAAGAAAAACTAAAATTTCTGCCCTTTTTTTGCCTATGATGAATTCATCCTCAGATTTTAAAGTTAGAGCCTTTTTAAAGACTTTGGATGTTCATTTTACAGTTAGATAAGATTAATTTCATAGTCTCTGATGTGCAGCAATTGGCCATTAATATTGAAAGAGTCCCCTTTAAACTACGGTCCAACAAAAATTAAATTATTTTATATTAACTTTAAGCATCTAATTACTAAAATTCCATGTATTATTTATTTGCTTGTGTACGTGTGAATTTATTAGGAACATCCTTGCCATACTATCAACTAATGAACAAATATTTTGTATTTATTTATAGGCGAAATTCCTTCATTTCTTTGGAACATGCCATCATTAAAACATATTTACCTTGACGACAATCATTTAAGGGGTGATTTGTCTGAAGAAATATGTCATCAACTCCCTTTACTTGAAGTCTTTAGTGTTTCTGGTAATCAATTAGAGGGAAGCATTCCACAATCAATAAGTAACTGCACATCTTTGAAAGAATTATATTTGGATGGTAACTCATTTGCAGGTATGCACTTATTTATTTGTGTATTTTTTTTCTTTTTAATATTTTTCTCTCAAATGAGATTTTGTTTTTCTCTAAAATCCGAATCATGGACGTCGTGCAATTTGCAACAGAGAAAAATGAAATCCTCACATATGCTATTGATGACAAACTCCAAACCACCCAATACTTTTTTATCAAGATTTTTTTCTGTCTTTTAATTACTTTAATTTTATTTTTTTCTCTTGTATTAATATTTAAATAATATTAAAATACAGATAAGTTTGGAGTTGGTTTTACTTATTTATTATATATATAAATTGTAACAGTTCAACATTGTTTAATTGAAATTAAAATTATAATATTTTAAAAATTTACAACGTACTAATTAAAAAATGTACAATAAACAAAAATTATTTAGATATGTATAAAAGATCAATTACAAATTATACAATAAATGAAACTCATAAAATGCTTGTTCATCCAAATTTAAATGCAACATACATACCTATTACATGCCAGTAACTTTTTTAGATTTTATCTGTTTCCTAACAACTTTAATTTTATATTTTTTCCCTCTCTATTGTGGAGTACATTTTTTTTATCTGTTATGCTTCTTTTTCAATTTCTTATTTTTCAAATTCATTAATTTCAAATTAAATACTTATTCAATAATTACAGTATAAAAACTTTTATTTTTCAAAAGCAATACTAGTCATTTCAGACATTTCCTCAAAATTTCATATTTACAATATGAGATTAGATTCTTTATTTATTATTTTTCAAATTAAGGGTCTTAAATCACAATTTCATATATTGGGGTTTTTATTTGTCTTTTTTTTTTTATAATGTTTTATTTGCCATTTTTCCTTCGTACAATCCCAAAATAACGGAAAGATAGAATCATGACCTCATCAACTGAGCTGATGGGCCCACTTCAAAAACAGAATTTCTTAAGTACTCAGCGTATAATGTGCCCACTTGCCCACATGCAATTTTTTATTTTTCAAATTTATTAATTTCAAATTAAATGATTCTTACCAACAAAAAATTAAATAATTTTGATATTTTTTATTTTAAAATTTTTTTAAAAGTTGATATTAATGTAAAGAATAATTTTTATTTTGTATTTTACTCTTCCGAATTGAAATGAGTATTACTTGAAATTCTTTTGTTATATTTAAGGCAAGTTCTCCACTTATCTGTAGGATGGGATAAGTTTAATACTAAAAACAGAAAAATTTGCAGGTGCGTTTTTCCTTATTTATCACAATAAAAAAGAAATTTATTTAAATAAAATAATTATAAAATATCAATTGTGAATAATTATAAAGTGGAATTATTCGGTACGTTCAATTGATAATAATTATCTTCAACATAAAACTCTCCACTAATAACTTCTTAATCATTATTTTATTTTAAAATTAAAAGAAGTATGAAAAATCAACATGAGGGAGAAAGCATGGGAGATTACATAAAAAAATGTCGATTCATTAAACATTATTGTGGAACTTTTTTGTTCAGCAAAGTTTTACTCAATAATTTCTCTCTAAAACTGCGCAAAAGAAATTTCTTCATCAGAGACAAATTGCTGAAAAAGCAGTCTAATGCTTTACGCCGTACATGATTAATTGGCAATGCATAAAAGTTATATAGTTAAACTTAATGTGCTCATTTGCAATATTAAAAGGTGAGAAATTTGATGGTTAGACGAAATTTGCCTTTTCCCTTGTTAATATTTATGCATGGATTAATCAGTATAACACAATGTTCAAGTTTCTAGAAATTAGTACGTAAGACAAGTGAAGTTTCTTTATTATTTGTGTATATTATATGCAAACAATATTACAATGCCCAAATAAAGAAAAGGTAAGATCGTGACTGATGGGACCACTTGCTATATTTAAAATGTGAAAAACAATTTTTTTTTAATTTTAGTCTTAATCTACCACATCATTTGTATACTTTGATTAATAAAATGGCTTCATATATACTTTGTCCAGGAATCATTCCAAGTGAGATTGGTAATTTGACAAACCTCCAAGTCCTTAATCTTGGTGAGAACATTTTGCAAGGTAAGAATGTTAGTTATATGATTGTCTTAGATCGTGTGTGTGTTTTTGTTTTTTGTTTTGTTTTTGTTTTCATCTCTGGAATGAAAAATAATTTTAAAATGAGATTTTGCTTTTCATTTTTTTCATTCATGTTAAAGAATCATGAAAAGCTTACTAAAGAGTTTACGCTGATAATAGAAATCCTTGAAAAAAGAAATAAAATATAATTTTGGATCATTAAAAAAAATATTAAAATACAGATAAGTTTGGGGTTGGCTTTACTTATTTATTATATCTATAAATGGTAACAATTCAACATAAATTATAATATTTTAAAAAAATTATAACGTACTAATTAAAAAATGTACAATAAAAAAATTATTTAGATATGTATAGAAGATGAATTACAAATTATACAATAAATGAAACTCATAAAATGCTTGTTCATCCAAATTTAAATGCAACTTACATGCCTATTATATGCCAGTACCTTTTTTAGATTTTATCTGTTTCCTAACAACTTTAATTTTATATTTTTCCCCCTCTCTATTGTAGAGTATATTTATTTATCTGTTATGCTTCTTTTTCAATTTCTTATTTTTCAAATTCATTAATTTCAAATTAAACACTTATTCAATAATTACAGTATAAAAACTTTTATTTTTTTAAAAGCAATACTAGTCATTTTCAGACATTTCATTAAAATTTCATATTTTCAATATAGGATCAGGTCTTTATTTATCATTTTTTAAATTAAGGGTTCTAAATCACAATTTCACATATTGGGGGTTTTTATTTGCCATTTTTTCTTTTGATAATGTTTTATTTGCCATTTTTCCTTCATACAATCCCAAAATAACGGAAAGATAGGATCATGACCTCATCAACTGAGCTGATGGGCCCACTTCAAAAACAGAATTTGTCAAGTACTCAGCGTATAATGTGCCCACTTGTCCACATGTAATTTTTTATTTTTCAAATTTATTAATTTCAAACTAAATGATTCTTACCAACAAAAAATTAAATAATTTTGATATTTTTTATTTTAAAATTTTTTAAAAGAGTTGAAATTAATGTAAAGAATAATTTTTCTTTTGTATTTTACTCTTCCAAATCGAAATGAGTATTACTTGAAATTCTTTTGTTATATTTAACGCAAGTTCTCGACTTATTTGTAGGATGGGATAAGTTTAATACTAAAAACAGAAAAGTTTGCAGGTGTCTTTTTCCTTATTCATTACAATAAAAAAAAATTTATTTAAATAAAATAATTATAAAATATCAATTGTGAATAATTATAAAGTGGAATTATTCAGTACGTTCAATTGATAATAATTATCTTCAACATAAAACCCTCCACTAATAACTTCTTAATCATTATTTTATTTTAAAATTAAAAGAAGTATGAAAAATCAACATCAGGGAGAAAGCATGGGAGATTACATAAAAAAAAATGTCGATTCATTAAACAGAGCAAAGTATACTTAATAATTTCTCACTGAAACTGTACAAAACAAATTCCTTCATTAGAGATAAATTGCTGAAAGAGTTGTCTAACGCTTTATGCCGTACATGATTAATTAGCAATGCATAAAAGTTATATAATAAACTTAATGTACTCGTTTGCAATATTAAAAGGTAAGAAATTTGATGGTTAGAGGAAATTTGCCTTTTTCCTTTTTAATATTTATGCATGGATCAATAGTATAGCACACATATTCAAGTTTTTGAAATTAGTACGTAAGACACGTGAAGTTTATTTATTATTTGTGTATATTATATGCAAACAATATTACAATGTCAAAATAAAGAAAAGGTAAGATCATGGACTGATGGGACCACTTGCTATATTTAAAATGTGAAAAAACAATTTTTTTTTAAATTTTAGTCTTAATCTACCACATCATTTGTATACTTTGATCAATAAAATGGCTTCATATGTACTTTGTCCAGGAATCCTTCCAAGTGAGATTGGAAATTTGACAAACCTCGAAATTCTTGATCTGAACTACAACAATTTGCAAGGTAATAGTTTTAGTTATATGATTGTCTTAGATCGTGTGTGTATGTGTCTTTGTTTTTGTTTTTGTTTTTGTTTTCATCTCTTAAATAAAAAATAATTTTAATTTGCTTTTCATTTCTTTCATTCATGTTAAAGAATCATGAGAAGCTTACTAAAGATTTTGTATTCATAATAGAAATCCTTGAAAAGAGAAATAAAATATAATTTTAGATCATTAAAAAAATTAGAGAAACCCTATAAAAACTGGTCTGAAAAACTTTGTGGACTATCAATATGTGATGTGGTATAGTAATTAATTTTTGCCCCAGCAAAAATGTCTTTAAAAAGAGAAATAAAATTTAATTTTGGATCATAGAATAAGTATGTGTTGGCTATCAATATAATGCTTGTTTCTATTTGATGATAGGACTTGTACTTGAAAAGATTTCATAATATTTCTAATTCTCTCATCAACATTTACGTAACTCTCGTATCTTATCTACTTTTATATTAAAACGGGTAAAATTTCATCTTTAATTTTATGCTTTATCTCCAAAATTTGTAACTAAAAGTATTTTAATTCCTTAAAGAAAAACTTAAATTTCAGCCCTTTTTTTTTTGCCTATGATGAATTCGTCTTCACATCTTAAAGTTAGAGCCTGTTTAAATAGTTCAATAACTATAATACAAAATATAAATAATTTGGATGTTCATTTTAGATTAGGTGAGATTAATTCTATAGTCTCTGATCTTCAGCAATTCTTCTTTGAAAGAAATTTAACATCCAATTGGTCATTAATGTTGGAAGAGTCCTTTTAAACTATGGTCCAACAAAAAATAAATTATTTTCTATTAATTCTAAGCATCTAATTACCAAAATTCCACGTATTATTTAAATGCTTGTGTACGGATGGATTTATTAGGAACATGCTTGCCATAATATCTAGTAATTAACAAATATTTTGTATTTATTTATAGGCGAAATTCCTTCATTTCTTTGGAATATGCCGTCATTAAAACATATTGGCCTTGGCATCAATCATTTAAAGGGTAATTTGTCTGAAGAAATGTGTAATCAACTCCCTTTACTTGAAGTCTTTAGTGTTGCTGTTAATCAATTAGAGGGAAGCATTCCACAATCAATAAGCAACTGCACATCCTTGAAAGAATTATATTTGGATGGTAACTCATTTACAGGTATGCACTTACTTGAGTGTTTTCTTTCCTTTTTAATATGTTTCTCTAAAATGAGATATTATTTTTCTCAAAAATCGCAATCACGAATAGATGGATGTCGTGAAATTTGTAACAAAGAAAAACAAAATCCTCACATATACTCTTTGATGACAACACTCCGAACCATACGATACTTTTTTATCAAAATTTTTTTCTGTTTCTTAATTACTTTAATTTAATTTTTTTTCTCATCTTAATATTTAAAGAATATTAAAATACAGATGAGTTTGGAATTGTTTTTACTTATTTATTATGTATATATAAGTTGCAACAATTCAACATTGTTTAATTGAAATTAAAATTATAGTATTTCAAAAAAAATTACTACGTAGTAATTAAAAAATGTACAATAAACAAAAATTATTTAGATACGTATAAAAGATCAATTACAAATTATACAATAAATGTAACTCATAATATGCTTGTCCAACCAAGTTTAAATGCAACATACATCCTTATTATATGCCAGTCCTTTTTTCCAGGTTTTGTGTTTCCTAACAACTTTAATTTTATATTTTTTTCCCATAGAGTACATTTTTTTCCTCTGTTATGCTTCTTTTTCAATTTTTTATTTTTCAAATTCGTTCATTTCAAATTAAATACTTATTCAATAATTAACAGTACAAAAAATTTTATTTTTCAAAAGAAATACCAGTCATTTCACCTCCAGTGTAATTTATGATTTTTCTTAATTTTTTTCATTTCTAAATTTTACAAAGACTTGAACAAATTAAAAAAAAATTTCTTGGTACATTTTACTCTTTTGGTTGAAATGAGTATTACTTGAAATTATTTTTAATATATTTAACGTAAGTTTTAGAATTTTTCGTAAACATACCATTTTTAATAATATTTGATAATTTCTTCTTTTCTATACACACGCAAACACATGGTAACAGCTCTATCATTTAATTAAAATCAAAATTATATTGACATTTTTCTAAAAGAATCACAGCATATGAATTAAAAATTTGAAATAAACAAAAGATTTTTTTAAAATAGATATAAAAATCAATTGCAAATTATAATATAGAAATCAAATAAAAATTTAAATATAACTCAAACTGATGAAGAATAATATGAGATATTTTAATTGTTCAACAAATAGAAGAACTGGTCTGCATGTTGTGAAATTAAACAAAGCTTTTCAATCTAAAGTTTTCACATGTCAACTTCCAGGAGGGATAAACTGCCGAATAAGTAGTTTAATGCTATAAGCAACACATGATTTATTGGCAATGCGCAAATAACTAATAGCCGAAGCCAAAGCAAACACTCAAGAAAATCCTAGCATACAACCCAACATACCAGTAGAACAACAAAACAACACTTAACAAAGAACAACAAGCAACAAGTAGTTAGACAACACCAGATAACGAGTCACAATTAGAAAGCTCAAGATCATGCTGCAGAATATTAAATAGTAAGGGTGGTTCAGAAAACCATCCTTGTGGTACCATTCCTTTCAAAGCCTCTGCTGCTAAATAATCAGTAGGTTACCGCCATTGTGAGAAACCAAAGACAGAGACCAATTATGCACAATCAATGAGATTTTAAAGGAATTATATTTGAATATTAACTCGTTTTACTTTTGTATGTCCTTTTTTTCAAAGATTTTATCTATCTCTTAATTACTCTAAGTATTTAGCCAATACCAGTCCTAGAAAGCTCAAAATCATGCCGCAGAATATGAAACAAAAAGGGTGGTGGTTCAGAAAACCATCCTTTTGGTACTACTCCTTTTAAAACCTCTGCTGCTAAACAGTCAGCAGCTCTATTGCCCTTGCCAAAACCAAAGACAAAGACAACTTTGAATAGCTGCTTAGCATGACATCTTCACAGCTCAACTCGCATCCCCTGAATTATGAAGCTCTCAATCTGTGAAACAGCTCTTGACAATCAGTGTCAACTATCACCTTCTTTTCTTCCCACCTCTCACTGCAATTCAAAGCTTCCAGGATTGCCAAGGTTTTGCAATAAGAGCTGAATATGCCTTAACCTTCATTCCCAAACCACCAACAAACACACCATTCTCATCTCTTCCCAACAACCCTATAGAAGCAGCCATATCAAATAACTTGAAAGAAGCATCCATGTTCAACTTGATTGCTCCATTCTCAGGTGCCCTCCAAATTCTCGCTCTTTCAACACCATTGCCCTCCATCTTATGTCTCCCCCTTTGTTTTTGAGCCTCATCATAATCTCTAACTAGCCTTAACACCCTTGCTACACATCTAATAGCATCCAAAAATATGCCTGCGCCCAGCTTTCCAAATTTTCCAGCAGGTGGTAGCAAAAGAGTGATACTAAAATCATCATGTCCCATCTTTTGATTCATCGATTCCTCCATCCACCTGGCCATACCACACATCCTTGATTTATTGAATCTTAGTGACAAAGGTGACCCAAACCAACATCTCTCAGCCCATAGACGTAAAAATAAAGCATGCTTAATTGATTCCACCTGACATCTACAAATATCAGGTAGGTGTACTAGAGTATTTTCTTCTAAAAAGAGCTTCCTTGATGGCCAAAGCTCCACTCACTACTTTCCACATAAAATGAGCTGCCTCAGGAGGGATCTTCAGCTTCCACAATTGATTCCACAGCTGTTTAGATACCTCCTGGATCTCTCAATCTTCCACCGTCTTCTCTGCCTAAAGTTAGCTACCCTATACCCCAACTTCAGAGAATAATTACCATCTCTACTTATCATCCAAAGACACTTATCTGCCAAATTTGATCCAGCAGTATTAAAAGAGTTAATGAGAGCTTTATCTTCATCACTGAATCAATCTTTCATTGCTTCAAAGCACCAAGAATTATTCCTGATTAAGCTCTTCACAGTCAAACTCTTTTTTTCTTCATCCAAATCTCTGGAAGCCAATGCATACCCATTAGCATCAGGAATCCAATTGTCAACAAAAACTCTGATCCTCTCTCCAGTCCCTACTCTCCAACAGAGATCTTTTTTTAATTAAATCTCTTCCTTCTAAAATGTTAGACAACCTGAAGAGGATCTCTAACCTTGCTTTGCTTGCGAAAAGTCACTATCCGAAAAATACAAACCCTTTAAAATCCTACACCATAAAGCATCTGTATTTTGAACCAACCTCCATGTAGTATTAGCAAGGAGAGCTTTGTTAAACAACTCTAGATTCCTAAAACCCATTCCACCTTCACTTTTTGAAAGGCTTAGCGAACTCCAAGATTTCTAGTGTATTCTACCTTCTTGTTCCCTCTGACCCTACCAGAACCTTGCCATCATGCTATCCAATTCAACACAAACCTTCTTTGAAAATCTGAAACAGGAGATAGGAAACACAGGTACTGTGTACTGCCTTAATCATCACTTCCCTCCCAGAAAACATCAACAACTTTTGTTTCTGTCTCTGTAATTTCAAACTAAACTTGTTTTTAACAAACAAAAGAGCCTCTGACTTTGACTTTCCCATATCATTGGCATTCCCAGATATTTACTAGGACTATCACTAGTTGCTTTAAAGATCCAAACCTCATATACTTCCCTCTTAAAATCCTCGCTTGTGTTCTTTGAGAAAAACAAACAGGACTTATCAAAATTGATTGCTAGTCCTGAAGCCTTACAATAGCAATCTAATATGCCTTTCAATATTTTACAATTCTGCTTTCTTGCATTCACAAAAAATAAAGCATCACCATCAAAAAAAGTAGTGAGACACCATTGGACACTTTCTTGTGAAGAAAAATGTGTTAGTCACCTTAAGTCCACTTCAAAATAAACCGATTAATGTAATATAGTTCAAAATCTGGGTCGTTTTCACTTTAGGGAGCCTTTAGAGAAATTCCTAAGTAGCTAAGTATGCAAAACTATAAAAATTGACTTGGAAAAGGATTGTCTTTTTTTTTAACCAAGTATTTGGCAAAAATTAAAATGCAAAAAGAGTAAAATATTTTTGGGTTTTTAGTTTATAAAATGGTAGGAGTGAAATGAAATATGCAAACTAACAAGCGATAACAATGAAATGGCAATCCTCTAGCACAACAGTTTAGACAATCATTACTTCAATTAATTTGGGAGTTAGCTAGCTTCAAAAGAATCCAAGAGCCACCCTTTAGACTTGATTTAATGAGAATAATCAATACCAAGCCACCTTGAGTATTAAATTTCCAAGATTAAACTGATTAAGCAAAGCTAGCAAGAGAGAATCAAAGACAGCAATTAGTACTTTTGATCCAATAACCACGCGACCTTGAATTATCACGACATATTCACAATAATTTCAATGAATAAACTTATTCCAGCTCTTAAATTTCAGAATTCAAACCTCACAGTCCCAAGCATTAATCCATCGATACCATACACGCACACATACACAAGCATGCGATTATTTTATGCCATTCTTATCTAAACACAAAATCGGTCATCTAAATTCAAGAACCCCTTTTTATGATAATCAATATAATAGAGAAGAAACAAGAGATTCTCGGTCTCGCCAATCAAAAGTCAGAACAGAACAAACGCATGCACACCACAAAATTCCTACTTAAGCGTTATTCTACTCCTATAAAGCATCTCTTAAATCTGTCGATGTTTCCCCCTTCCCCTCAACAACAACTTACGGTCACTGTAACTCTCCAAGTAGTATTCTAACGATGAGAAAGAGGGTAGGAGGAGCATTAGAAGGTTTACCTTGGTTGGATCCTAGCTTATATGCGTCGAATCTTCCTCTTTCCCTTTCTCTCTTCCTCCTTGTCTCTTCTGCCACCAAATCGCACCCTCTCTGCCCCTCTCTTTTCATGTTTGTGCGCGAGTGGAGTGAGGGCAAAGTGTGCTCTCTATAGAGAAGAAGCAGGGATGTCATGGCAAAGGAAATTTTGAATTTACCCACGAGTTGGGCTTCTAATTGGAATGTGCCCCACATAACTTTCAACCCACGGGTAATGAGTTAACTATTTCTTTTTCCCTTTTTTATTTGATATTTCCTTATTAAACAGCTCTCAAAAATTAATCTGAACACATTATATGAACTTTTCTCCTCATTTAACTTTCTTAACTCATAAAATAGTTGTCCTAAAATTTTTAGACTAAAAATCAACCTTTAACCATTTTTCTTGAATTGCTCAAGAAAATAACTCTTTAATTTAGGAAATTAGCTTTTAAATTATTTCTAACCTCTTTGGAAAATAAAATCTTCCATAAACCTTTTTATTTCCCAAAATGATCATCTATAAATTTTCCATAATTATTCTTATCTATTTTTAATAATTATTCCTTTCTTGATTTTCTCGCCCGAAAATAGGTTTTATGGAATAATTATTTTTTTGAGGCCTTAAATAATTCTTTAAGCCTCCTAAACATCTTAGTAATTGCTAGCTTTAAAATTAGGGATATTACACTCCACATAAAATTCCTCCTCCATTCTGCACGTCTCTTTAATTCTGCTAATCTTTTCTTTCTTCATCTTTTTTTCCATTAGGAAGGTTATAGAAGGTCTGTGTTTAAAAAAAATTTTCCTTTAACTTCTCAACTATCAAGGCTCTTTCCAGACCTTGATAGCTCCATGCTAGGATTTTCATGGCCCCTTGATAGCTGTTTTAGGCCAACCACCAAGATCTTAAGCACAATTCATCATACTTTGACTCAAAAGCTTCTCCACCGTCTCCGTTTCAATTAAACCAGGGCCTCCTTGACTCCTCCCTCCCCTTCTCCTGCCTCCCTTCTCATTTGGTGTTTAATCAAATTAATACTACCACAACCTCTTTTGTTTTTGATAGTTTGTTTGTTTTTCACAGATTCATTAGGATTACTCTCAAAACACAACTTAATTTCTTCTCTTACTCGATTGCAATCCACTTCCTCCACTAATCCTATCTTCAACTTTACCTTCTTCAAACTAGCAATAACCTCTGACATTGGAGAGGCATCTCCATCAACCACAATTGCTTTCAAAAGATCCCCCCTACTCTTCACTTCCACACTCCGTGCCTTCATATTATTAGAGTTACATTTCAGAACACTACCAGTTATCTTTGCTTCCTTCAACTTCTCCAAATCAATCCTTCTTTTTGCCAACTCAACTTTTTAACTATTCCCGTTACACTCCTGTGGCCTCTCAGTCACATTTGAATTCATACAGCTCATATTTTCCTCTTCAACTAGTGAGTTCTCCTTTCTTTGTAAAGCTCCTCTCACTTCACAGTCCTTCTCCCCTACAAACTTCCCCAGAACATCCTTCCCTTTCCTCCTGACATCAATTTGAAATTCAGTAATTACAGGAGAATCTCTTCTTGCAAAAGCTTCATCATATTCCTCCGATCCTTCTCTTCAAACTCTAATAGCATCATCTATATTTTTGGCAGTTTGCACACTCAACCAACTGCCAAATTTCCTCTCGGAGCTCAAGCCTTTCTCACTCAACAACACGACTTCTAAAGTCATGCCTAATTCTACCATATAGGATCTTTATCTGGTTTAGGCGTTCACATTCTAGTAACTAGAGGTCTCGTCAGATCTACCAAGACTCTGACTCGTAAGAAGCTACGGATGAATGAGTCATTCTTTCTTGTATCTTCTACCATCACAATGTCACAAATCAGCGATCGGAGAGTTACAGCATTCTCAACATCCATAGCTCCGTGTGGTAAGTCATGGAACTGAAACCAAAAAGGGCACTTCTCAAAGTCAACCTCGCTAATTACCATATCCTCTTCCCAAGGGTGAACATTAAGCAAAACACCTTGTATCGACCATGGCCTTCCATTTAGAATACGCATATAATCCGATCTGTGTTTGAATTCAAATATGAACATATGCTTATCAACATCCAATATCTCCATATCGTCATTCTTGATCAGATTCCAGCCCTTTCTGATCATATGAATCGTTGTGATCGATTCTATTCAAATTCTTCTCAGTTGCCAATTTCCCCACCAATGCACCTCCATTAATCTTCCTTTGCTCTTCTTTCCTCCATATCAATTTCACCTCCATCTCACCCTCCTTCTGACACAAACCACTCGTACTGCCTTCCACCATTGCAAAAACTCACATACACATCCACCAGAAACTCCTTAAGCCTTCACCAAGCCCTCTCAAATTTGCGTCACAACAATGCGTCATAACATAACTCAAACTAAAGAACGAAAACACAAGATGTTTTTACTAGTCAGTCAAGCAATTAAATCTCATCATTTGAATTTAGTCGGTTTTAAGAGAAACTGTTCCATGGTCAATTATATGTGAAGTTAAGTAAAGCTTTTACAATAAAATTTTTTCTTATATTAAGTTTTGAATAATTATTAAATATGAAATTAGAAAAATACACACAATGGTGTGTGCGTAGATGGGTGTGCCCAAAATCAACATTTGCACTTGTTTTCTCTCTTTATTCCAGAGTACATTCTTTATCTCTTTAACTTCTATTTTTATTTTTTATTTTTAAATTCATTAATTTAAATTAAATATTTATTCAACAATTACAGTAAGCAATTTTTATTTTTTAAAAATATACAAGTCATTTCGCAGTAATTTTAATTATGATTTTCTTAATTTTTCTTATTTCAAAATTTTCACAAAGTTTTAAACAAACAAAAAACAATTTATTTCCATATTTTACTCTTTCGGGGTTGAAATGATATCGCTTGAACTATTTCAATATATTTATCGTAAGTTTTAGAATTAATTTTAAACATACCATTGTTAATAATATTTGATAGCTTTTGTATAATAGGGTAAGTTTAATGTTAAAGTAAACACAAATTTGGAGCCTGTACGTGAGCACATGCGCGCAAATGCATGTATGGTAACAATCTATCATTTAATTAGAATTAAAATTATATTGATATTTTTTTAAAAAACCACAGCATAAGAATTAAAAATTTTCAATAAACAAAAAATTATTTAAATAAGTATAAAAATCAATTAAAATTATAATATAAAAATTAAATAAAAAATTTAAATATAACTCAAACTGATGAACAATAATACGAGATATTATTTTCAATTGTTTCAACAAGCAAATTTCTTCATTTAAATTCATTTTTGTCTAATTGGGCAAAAAATTCGTTTTTTGTTTAAAGAAGACTTATTCTACCCGTTGTGAAATTAAATAAATATTTTCAAATTAGCTCTGTTGAGTAAAGTATAAACAATACTTTTTTTTAATTCGACTGTACCAACACAAATTCTAAGAGAGATAAATTAGTGAAAAAGCATATTAAAATGATATTGTTATAATCATGATATTGTTGTCTTATTTTATTATTTCTTCTTTTTTTAATCATTTTCCTGAATAGAATAAATCTAAAATGACATTTTCTTTTCCACAAAATATATTATTTAAGTACTCTGTACCATATGATTTGTACTCTGTTCATTAAAAAAGCTAAACATCCTATATATGCGCCGCACATGTTACGCATACGCCGTAGCATACCCCGTACCTTAATTAAAGAATATATCCTTTTACTGTTTAATTTTCTTTTGTAATTTTTTTTCAATTGTTTCTTTTCTATTTCGTAAATTCATTAATATCCTATCAAATCATTATTCAATTACATGGAAGTCATGGTTTCCATCAATTTTTTTATGACCACGTTTTGTACATAAAGCACAGGCTAACTCGATAAACTTAATGTGTCAAACTGGACCCTATATCATTCGAAAGGACCTACTCCTTTTAATATATTCAACATTCACCTATATCATTCAATATATTTTTCCATGTTATCTGCAAACAATATTACCTGTTTCGGTTTCTTTTTACAAATCAGTTTTTTTTTTTCAGGTTTTATACCCAAGGACATAGGCAATCTTGTTAGACTTGAAATCATAGATTTGGGATCAAATTATTTGAGTGGACCTATTCCTTTCAGTATATTCACCATTTCAACATTGAAATGGTTAGAACTTACCGATAATTCCCTCTCTAGCCTTCTCCCATCATATTTAGGGATTGGCCTTCCCAACTTGGAGACCTTATGGCTGGATAGCAATGAACTAAGTGGACAAATTCCAAAAAGCATATCAAATGTTTCCAAGCTCAAAACGTTAGATTTGTCAGTGAATAAATTAAATGGAGCTATACCCAATGTCATTGGAAATTTAAAAAACTTGTTCAACTTAGCTTTGCATGGGAATGATTTGACTGGGTTGATTCCAGACACAATTAGCAACTTACATAACCTTCAACGTTTAAGTCTCAGCAACAACAAATTACAAGGTTCCATTATAAATGAACTTTGCCAACTCAAAAATCTAAGTGAGTTGTATCTTGACAACAACATGTTTTCTGGAGCAATACCAAGATGTCTCGGGAGTCCTTCTTTGCGGAAGTTGAATTTTAGCTTCAACAAATTGATGTCTCATATACCCTTTTCTCTTTGGAGTCTCAAAGATATCTTGGTTTTAGACATATCGTCCAATGCATTGAGTGGATCAATATCACAAGAGTTATCAAACTTTAGAGCAATTATACTATTGAACTTGTCAAGAAATCAACTTTCAGGAAGCATCCCTACAACTATGGGTAGCTTGCAAACCTTGATAACTCTATCTTTGGCTAACAACAAACTACAAGGGTCTATTCCTAAGTCATTTAGTAGCATGATAAGCATAGAATCTATGGATCTTTCCCATAATTATTTATCTGGTATGATTCCAAAGTCCTTAGAGTCATTACTCAATCTTAGATACATTAATTTTTCCTACAATTTGTTGGATGGAGAAATTCCAAGTGGTGGTCCTTTTCAAAATTTTACTGCTCAATCTTTTATGATGAATAAAGATCTTTGTGGAAAGTCCCAACTACAAGTCCACCCTTGTAGGAGAGGAAATAAGCACATGTCAAATAAAGTGATGCTGGTGATAAAATGCTCAATGCCTATCATGGTTGTCATTTTGGTTGTTATAGGCGTTCTCTTTCTAAAACATAACAGAGATGATGCTAACTATGCAACCAAAAGGGATTTAACAAATTTGGATGCGGCAGCTAGGATATCCTATTATGAGCTTCTACAGGGAACAAATAGATTTGATGAGAGTAATCTTCTTGGCTTTGGAAGTTTTGGATCAGTATACAAAGCAATTCTTCCAAATAAAAAGATAGTTGCTGTCAAAGTATTTAACATAGACATGGAAGAAGCATTCAGAAGTTTTGATATTGAATGTGTTGCCCTATGCAATTTACGCCACCGGAATCTTATTAAGATTATTAGTTGTTGCTCAAATGATGCTTTCAGGTCTCTAATCATGGAATTCATGTCAAATGGAAGTCTTGATAGATGGTTGTACTCTCATAACTACTGTTTAGATATCCTTGAAAGGTTGAATATAATGGTTGATGTGGCATCTGCATTAGAGTATCTTCATCATGGTACTTCTACTCCAATTGTTCATTGTGACATAAAACCAAGCAATGTTTTGTTGGATGAAGATATGGTGGCTCATGTTAGTGATTTTGGCATAGCTAAACTATTAGGTGAAGGACAATTGGAAACTTATACTAAAACATTGGCTACAGTTGGCTATATAGCACCAGGTAATAGTTTAATAATAATATTTTAGTTCAATTATGTTATTTTTTTTAATTATTCTATGTGAAATTTTATATTATACAATCAGTAACATAAATTTTCCATTCCTATCTACAAAAATATGTATTAGCTATATAAGTAAAGTTTAACGGCAATCCTTATGTTCTCTTTTGACGCATAGAGTATGGATCAAAAGGAGCGGTTTCTTTCAAAGGAGATGTATATAGTTATGGTATCATGCTAATGGAGATGTTTACAAGGAAGAAGCCAACCGATGAAATGTTTGTTGAAAGTCTTGGTTTGAAAGATTGGGTTAGCAAATCAACACCACATTCAATCATCAATATTCTAGATGTCAATTTGCTACATGAAGCAAATCCAAATATCAACAATATATTGCCGCATATGTCATCAATTTTTGAGTTGGCATTAAGCTGTTGCACTGAATTACCTGAAGCACGAATTTTGATGAATGATGTTGTGGTCTCATTGAAAAAGATAAGGTCATATTTATGTTCAATGTCAGAGATGCACCACTAGTTGAATAATCTTTATATGGAAGTTTTAGTTACTGTTTCTTTTATCCTTTGGTTTATTTTGTCTATGAAACATGTCATATGTTAACATGGCCATGATTTATATGTTTGTTATATTAATATGTGAAGTCACTACATTTTTTATGTCTTGAGTTATTTTTCTTTTTCTTACATTATTTTATTCATTACAATTGTATTTGATTCATTTATTTTGTTCTTTTAAGAAAAAGGATTATTATTCAAAATCTTGAATAAACTTATGAGAAAATTTACATAGTTGATAAGGGTTTTCTGCTTTCTGTAAGTAACGTGCAAATGTGAACATTATATTTTGCAATGTTTTTGGGTTTCAAGGAGTCTAGATTATTTGAATTACAAGATTTTGAAGAAGGGATCCCTCTTCCTCCATAGAAATGGTTATTGGGCTTCTTTTTTTTTTTTTTTTTTCATTCATGCAAGCATTCAAAACTTGAGAAATGAACAAAGCATTAATTTTTTTCCTAATCTTCTCTTGTCCGTCAAGCTTTAAAATGGAGCAAGAGTTCATGTGTGGCATATTAATTTGTATATTATACCTCTTGTATCTAAAAATTTAGTATTTATTCTTATTAGATGTATGATGGTCCCATACGAGTAGTGTTTAAAGGATTAATCACAACTATGTAAGCATGAAGTGAGTCTATCTAAGTAATTTAATTAAGCTATTTTTGGTGTAAGGAACAAGTCTAATAATTTGCAACACAATCTATTTCAACAGTTTCTTGGTAGATATATATCACGCATAGGGCTCCCAAAGATTTTATGTAATCCCTTATAAGATATTATATCTCTATATGATAAATGCTAGCTCATCAAATTTAAATTATGACTGTGCAATTAAAAGATGACAAATCATACTTCCATTTTAATATTTTTAATATAATATTTATATTCGTAAAAGTAAAAAAATTGAAATAAAATAACTCTATTTAATTGAACATCTATTACTTAAGTTTGATGAGCATGCATTTTCCGTTAACAGTGTTAAGATCGAAGGACCAAAAATGCAGTTTATAAGCTTAAGAGACTAAAATGAAATTTGATGTAAACATAAAAGACAAAACATATATTTTAGCCTAATTTTTAATATTTAATTTTTTTTCCTGGTAAACCATTATTACGTAGTATTTTGTATTAATTGAAACTTAACTTACGAAGGGCACTTGTGGGACTCCCAAAAGCTTGACTTGGGAATAGGACGTGAAAGACTCATGCCTCCATGTGCTCTCTTTTAAAAGATAAAAAAAAAAAAAAAGATAGATAGTCTTTAATACAAATATACACGTCCAAAATAAAATATGGAAAATTACCAATGAGACCTTTTTTTTTTACCAGCACAATGAGACTTGTTTATACAAAAAAGAATCATGTGAATTTATGAAAATACTCTTATACTCTTTGGGACTCTATTGTAATACATTCTCGTGTAAAATGACAAATATGCTATTATACCCACCGTTGGTGAATAAATCAATAATTAAAAAATGTATGAATTAACTTATAAATCTAAGAGTGTGCGTTAAAGTATTAATATTGTAAGAAAGCAATTTGTAAATGTAAGAAGCTTGATTAAGAAATTTGAAAGATTTACTAATTACTAGCAAATCGCTAAGGCTAAACTTGTAAATATTAATATTTAAATGAATTTTTTAAAAAAAATTATTAAAAATAGTTATTTAATATTTTAACTTTTAGTTTCTGTTGTGACTCAATTTCTAAAATTTACCTCAACATGACTCGGTTATTGAAATTTTGTCTCTTATAATTTTGTCCTTACCAAGTTTAGGTCACTAAATATTTGCCTACATGGCATTCTTGTCAACATATATCTATGATTATGTGTTAAAAGGATTGGAATTTTTTTTTAAAGAAAAAGAGTCACTCCTCATTTAGGGGAAAAAAATTAAAGAAAGAAATCCGAAAGGGAAAAACAAAAAGAACAAACCATTTCTGGATTGGGACTGAGAGGAATTACGCTTTCAGATTAATCTCCTAACCAATCCGTTGCTCCTGCTTTATTGGCCGAAGCAACAACGCAATTCTTGGAACAATTCATCTCTCCTCAGTAGCAGCCAGAGAGCGTCCTGTTTTATTTTCGTTTCCTTTGTTTTCCTTTTTCAGAGTGACTGTTTTTTTCAAAAAAAATTCCAATTACTTTAACACAATCCAACATGTATGTTGAGAAGGATGCCATGTAAGCAATATTCAATGGACTAAACTCGGCAAGGAAGAAATTATTAGACAGACCAAATTTGAGTAACTAAGTCGCCACAAATTAAATTTGAAGAATTAAATTACAATTAAGTTAAAAATTAAAAAATTAAAAACTAATTTTTTCAAAATTAATTTTTAACTCAGACCAGGGATCGATCAATATTCACCATTGGCCCGCCAATCCTAGTCAAAATCAATGAAACGGGGTGAGTCTAAGAGCACTTTCGTCATTTCATATGAGAATGTACTTACCGTAGAGTCCCAACGAATATAAGAGTATTCCATATTTTTCCCATTTTATTTCGGAGCAAATGATGGCATGAGTCTTTCACGTCCCACTCTCAAATCAAGCTTTTGTGAGTCCCACATGTGGGCTTTGAAAGTTAAGTTTCAATTTATAATTACTACATAAAATCGTTTATCAGGGAAAAAATTACACGTTAAAATGTGCACGTGATCGTAGAATTCCTCAAACAATTAAATATATATGGTAGTACCTTACATCCATACACACAGTGTCTCAATTTAATAGATAGACTAATAATGGATTTTAAGTCTTCTTTTGAACTAAACTAGACGGGTGAAGAAAATAGGGAAACTTAAAGGAATAAGTCTATAGTTTTGCAAAATTTTCAACATGCCCCTGAGCGGCAGTAATGATGATGTTGACCGTGATAATAACAAATATTTAACATTAATGGTTCAATAATAATAATGAAAAGTCCAATCAAAATGTTGAAATTGTTAAGTTTATAGAAAATACTATCTTTTTTTGGCCATCGAGTTTATAGAAAATATGTTGTGCTTTGTTCTTAAACTCGTAAAAGTATCTTCTCATAATAAGACCCCTGTTTTACGCAATATCTTCAGAGCCTTTCTAGTCAGATTAGGTAGATATAAAATCTACCCCTGCTTAGGTAGATATAAAATCATAGTTTTAAAAGTATTTTTACGGTATACGAAAAAATATGTAAAAGAGTTTGTCTCCATTTACTGAAAAATATTTTTCAAAAGTACTTTTGTAGTTAGACAAACATCCCCTAAATCAATTTTTGTATATATTAAAATTTATATACATATAATATTTTTCCTGATAAACCATTATTAAATATGTTGTGTTTTCTCTTTTGTTTTTTGCCAACGATTCAGATTCAGATTCTGAGTCTAAAAAGTTACAAATAATAAGGCTGTATTGATAACCTCAATTAAATAGCCAACTATTTTGATATAATTCCTAAAAGATTATTAACTATTAAAGCGTTCAATAATGTTAAACAGAAAACAACAAATAACTTCTTCTCAATCAGATTTTTTAAAAATGATACACTGGATGGTCTTGAAGACAGTATATGAGAAAATACATAATTTTTGATAGTACAATATCTTAATTATTTCATATTTAATAACTTTGGCACAATATTCATTACTTAATAATCAATTATTTTATAGAATAAATGTATGAAAACGCATAATAGACAGTGTTTTTTCATCCAAAATATCACTCACGTTAAATTCTAGACGTAAAGATAATAAAATTACTATCATATAAATAAAATATGTAATACGCAATGCTCCGTGCAATGCATGTGGGGGAAGACCCTAGTTTCTCTTTATTAGAGATATTAAATGAGTGTTGCCAAAAATTTCAAATTAAAACTATTATGTAATTTCTTTTTTTTTTTTTAAGACTCGGTACGTATGCACACCTTTGTTTTTACTTCCTCTGATTCAAAATATAAACATCAGATAACTAAGTCACACAATTTAAAAAGTTAGTTAAAATTAGTTAAAGACAATAAATATATAAAAAAATATAATTTATTTTTCTGAAATATCCTTATTTATAGAGAGGGTAAATGGGAGAGAGAATGAGTTGAAAAAAATAGACAAGAGACACATATAATTAATTAGGGTTAAAAATATTTTAAAAATGCATTAAATGCTTATACAAATCCAAAATGATGCTTATAAAAAGAAAATCAAGCCTCTTCAAAGATTCGACGCTTGTATTTTGCACCAAATGGAATTTTTTTTTAAAAAATATTTATGTCTTGTTTTCTTAATTTGATCTTTATTCTCTTTTGGCCAATCAAGATAATTTGATCTTTATTCGTGTGCATCTCTCTTCTTTCTAAACTTAGTTATCACAAAATAACTAATATTAATTTAAGAAAACAAATAGTTTTAAAATCTTCTAAGAAATGATTTGATACTTGACTAAGCTAATTTTTACTGTGTTTTTTCATATTTTATATACAGGAAAAAGCAGATAATCGCTGAAATTTCTTTCAGGTTTTGCTTTGACTTGAAAACAAATAGTAAACTTGTCAAATCGATTGTGACTCCAAAGAGGTGATATATAAAATACAAATTGGACTTTAATGCACGCAAGAGACAGATTGTGATTTTATAAGTCGAGCACGCCAACTTTTCCCCTATTTCCGAAGATTTATGTTTAGTTTTTTCTTTGATGTCTCCTAGCTAGCATTCTTTTCGGGTAATCTCTAGCTAATGAAAGCAATTGGACATTGTTTCGTGTAAAATGGTGGGTGGCTTTGAGGTCTACTCCAATGAATTAAAGTCTATAGACTTTTGATATATATGTTTGTGGAGAGTAGGGACAATATGTCCACACATGCTTCTTCCAAGTAGTTACGTTATTTTGAAGGTATTATCTATATATGGCCTACAAGACTAAATATAAATGTTTACGTAAGTATACCTTTTTAGAATTACTAATTTTATAAAACTTTATACTATAAAAAAAAAAAGTGTATACTCACAATCCACCATGAACAAGTAAAAAATTAAAGCCGTTTAGTTTAACCCCATTACAGGCCTACAATAGTAATAAGGGTTGTATTATCAACATATGCATATTTGGCTGCTTTTTAGTTTGGTAATAGGATTTACCATAGCAATGATGAGTACCAAAAATATGGTAATATCCATTCATACTCCTTCTTATCAATACTCATTGCCATCCCATTACATATTAAAAGAAGTCTCATTTGGGCTGACACATATAAGGAAAAGCTTGGAATCTGAGCAGCCCAAATTTAATGCTTTTTAAGATAACTAGTAAATGTCAAATTATTAAAAAAATAAATAAATTCAAAATTGCTACACTTTTATCATAACATTTTAAAACTGAAATAAAAATGTTTAAAAAATAATTTTAAAATTTTTTATATATCCGAACCACTGAAATTTCAATCTAATGGTGGAAATAGGTAGCGAAAAGGAATTGAATGGTAAAAGAGAGAAGCCAAGTCCAAAGCCTGAAAGGGAGAACTCTTATCTAAGATTTTGTCTTGAACTAAGCTCACCTGAGTTTATTTTGAATGCCACGATGGATAACCAACAATTCTCAATCAACATTTTGATTCAGATTCTAACTCTGAAACGTTTCAAATAAGGTTAAAATACACAAACTCTCCTAAACTTTGAGTTAGTTTCGTACAACCTCTCTTATCTTAAAAAGTTTAAATTAAAGACCCTAGTATTTAATGTTTTGATTATCAACCTCCCTACAGTTAAAATTACCATCTAAGTTAACGGTTTTTGCCATATCAAGATTCTTTTATATTTTTTATGATATATCATGTCATTTAAAAAACAAAAAGTGTCATTTGACAGGTAAGTTTAAGTAATTTATAATTTTTTTATTTAAAAACAACTCAATCAAATAAGTATTTTAAATAATTTTTAATATTTAAATATTTTATATTTTAAAGTAATTAAGTATTTCATTTTAAATATCTAAAAGAAATTAAAATTACTTATTTAAACCGTAAGTGTTATTTTTTACATGACATGACATATAATAAAAAATACTAAAAAAGTTGACGCGACAAAAACCGTTAGCCGTAACTGTATTAACGAAAGGGTTAATAATAAAAACATAAAACATTATGGTCATTAATTTAAAATTTTAAAGATAAGAGAGGTTATACGCAACTAACCCAAAATTTAGGAGATTTTTTGGTATTTTAGCCTACAAATAATAATGCTGTAATAACTTCAATTAGACAGCCAACTATTAATTCCTAAAAATTATTGACTATTAAACCGTTCAATAATGTTAAATAGGAAAAAAAAAATCCCTGCTTCTCAATCAGCTTTTTAAAAATGATACACAGAATGATCTTGAAAATAATATATGAGAAAATACTTAATGTCTGATAGCACAATAACTTAACCATTTCATATTTAAGAATTTTGACATAATATTCATTATTTCATATTTAATAGAGAATAAATGTATAACCAGACAAATCAATTATCACCATTCATTTTGTAATAGAGAGTGTTTTTGTCCAGAATATCAGACATCACATTCTAGAGGCAAACATAATAAAATTATTATCGCATGAATAAAATATATAATACGCACTGCTCTGTGCATTGCACAGAGAAGACCCTAGTATGCAATGTTTTGCTTTTAAACTCAGCAAGTACGCACACCTTTATTTTTAATTTTTTATAAGTTATTTGTGGCATGCTTCCTTAATTTGATCTTTATTCTTTTTTGGCCAATCAAGAGAATTTTATGTTTATTCTTGCGCATCTTTCTTCTTTCTAAACTTAATTATCACTAAATAACTAATATTGATTTTTTAAAAATGCATAGTTTTAAAATCCCCTAACAATGATTTCATACTTGACTAGATAATTTTTATATTGATAACTTCATATTTTATATTTAGGAAAAAGTAGATAATCTCTAAAGTTTCTTTTTAGGTTTTGCCTTAACTAAAAAAATGATACATGCTTATACAATTTAAAGGATTTCAAAAACTCATCGATTATTACCAATATAGAATTTTAACACATGCGTAAATGAAGTTGTTTCTTGTATGATTCTTGTCAATGGATTGTGATTACAAAGGGGTGTTAAGTAAAGAGATAAAAGATAATGAATGTCATTAATGATGAATAAAGATACAACAACCCTCTTGGGGTTAACCAAATCCTTCTTTAAAGACGGAGAATCAACAACCCAAAACTATTGAGATTAAGAAGGGAGATCCAAGTTATCCTCCTCCCTTTGATGAGAATAAACAACAATAAACAACAATAAACACACATCACATTAGACCTCTTTATATGGAGCTGATCTCAATTAACTAATGACACTCTTATCCTTCTCTAAAAAGGGGTGATATATAAAATACGGATTTGACTTTAATGGACGCGAGACAGATTGTGACTTAATAGTCAAGCACGCCAACTTTTTGCCCATACGAAGACGATATATATGTGTTTGTTTGTTTCTTTGACGTCTCCTAGCTAACGTTCTTTTGGGTAATCTCTAGCTATGGCCTACCAAACTTGACCACAAAATAGAGGTTGTTTCGTTTGAAATGGCGCATGACTTTGAGGTCTCCTCACAAGTCAATAAGTCCATGAGCCTATGAATATTGGGTGATTAATATATTAAAGTTTGTAAACTTTTTATATATATGTTTATGAACGGTGGCCTGCAAGACTGACCATAAACGAAATAACGCAATGAAAATGAAAATGTGTTTCAAGAAGTGAAGTTCATAGGACACTTTTTGTACGCAATATTTTCAGATCCCTCCTCAGGCTAGATCACTTTTCCAAAAAAAAAAGAAAAGCAGAGAGAGAAAAGAAAAGAAAAGATGATCTTTAAAGGATGAAGAAAGAAATATAACAAAATACATGTATTTTATCTATTCAAATTGATATATGTTTGTTTGGTCTCCAAATACAAACAAGGGATCAAATATGACCAGAATATATCTCATAATGCTTCAGCAAAAAATAAAACATTGCAGGTTTTGCTGAGGTTTTAGTTATCATCAATAAAAGTTAATACTAACTTAATCTTATAGGCACATCCTCCCACTGAATGTTTTAAACGAAGTTTAGTTGCGATGTGGCACACTACGACTACAATATATCTCATAGAGTATTCACAAAAGTATTTAAAGATTAACCGCTAAAATGATTTTCATTTCAACAATAAAATAAGCTGCAGGTCCAGCGGAAATTTGGAGGGATGGTTTTGAGATATATGTTTGTGGAGGGATAATGTATCCGCGCAAGCTTCTCGTAATCATACTTTTGGGGTATTCTTTGCATCAGACTCAATGAAAATAAAATTTCACATTGTTCTCATCACTAACGTATATTTTGGATTACTCTGTGGCCCATACAATGCTATAATAATAAAGATATGCTCCTTACTATCATAATACACCACTTGTAGGGTTAAAACTTCTCATTACTAACTAAATCTTTTTCCTCTTTCGTTCCATCAATTTCTTTTGGGACAACTTAATGTTTGAAAAGTCTAACTACCATGTTATGTGGCTACGCTTTTGAGGTGGATCCGTGGATGGGTGAGTCGTTTCCATTATGAACAAACTTCATAATTATTCAGTTATTGAGTTTACCGAAATATTGTTCTGCTTATTTTGGGATTTTTTTTTTCAAAAAGCCGCATAATCTATTTATGTATTTATTTTTAGCCTGCCAAAATTATCATAATCCATGACTCCATACAATTTATATATCAAAGTATCAATAAATTCAATTTAATTACATATCCATCTATTAATAATATTAAAAAGGCTTTAGAATATTCAAAATTCAGAGGGAGGGAAGGGGGAGAGAGAGATATTTATGTGCTGGCCAAACAAAAACTGTGATATCTATAATTTATGTTGTTAAACTAAATTTTAAACTTTTGAAAGTTCAACACTATTTTCAACATGGGGAAAAAAAATCTCAAGTCCCCAAACTAATAATTAATCTGCTTTTTAGCTGAATGGGGCATTGTGTTCGCGTGCCTTGACTTGACTCGGCAACGGAGGGAGAGAGAGGGAGTGCGATAGCAAAAGGAACCAACATTTTCGTCCTTCTAATTTTTAAAACATAGAGAGAGATTTCTTGGATTTACTGAGAAAAATAAAATTGTTGGCTTTATATATTTGTAGAGTAATTAAATAAAATCTTAACCAATTGGGTGTGGATAGAGGTCAGTGATTCAAATTTTCCCAATGTATCCCAAAAAAACTTTAAAAAATATATAATTATGATTATGAGTAGCACTATTATTATTTAAAAATATGATTTTCTATATTTACCAATGGCAATTGTCATTATTTATTGGGTAGACGAAGTTTTTCTTCTTGTTGGCATATTCTTATTTGAAACTTGAGGGTCGTTACTGTTAAAACATATTACCTTCACTCTTTAATATAAGATTTAGTTGACTATATTGAAAAGATTAAGTTAAAAAAAATACTTAATTATAGTATATGTTACATGATCTTTCTAAAATATTTATTTGTATCATTAGGTTATATACTAGTTTATAAGTTAGCCAAATCAGTTTGGAGAAAAACGTCAAATATAAATACTTTAAAATAATTTTTGGGCTTTCTTAATATTTCCCAACTAGTCATCTAGGTCTTATATTAAGGACTGAATGTAGTATTTTTTCAGTTTCTGAAATTATTTTTCTGTTAAATTTTTGTTGCTAAGGGACATAAAATTAAGGAGCTCTTATATAATAATCTGTAAAAAGTCGCATTATTCAGCAACAGCAGTAGCATGGTAGTGGTGGTGGTAGTAGTGGTGGTGGTGGCGGTGGCGGTGGCGGTGGCGGCAGTGATAGTGGCAGTAGTGATGGTGGTGGTGGTGGTAGTGGTAGTGGTGGTAGTAGTGGTGGCAGTGGTGGTCTTGGTAGTAGTGGTGGTTGTGGTAGTGGTCGTGGTGGTGGTGGTTCTGGTAGTGGTGGTGGTGGTAGTAGCGGTGGTGGTGGCGGTGGTAGTGGTAGTAGTGGTAATAGTAGTGGTAGTGGTAGTAGTGGTGGTGGTAGTGGTAGTAATGGTAATGGTGGCGGCGGCGGCGGTTATGAACACATTTTTTTCCTGCAAAGTGCGTAGTAGTAGTAGTTGTAGTAGTAGTTGTTGTTGTTATGAACACATTTTTTTTCCTGTAAAGTAGTAGTAGTAGTAGTAGTTATGAACACATTTTTTTCCTGCAAAGTGCGTAGTAGAAGTAGTACACATTTTTTTCCTGCAAAGTGTGTAGTAGTAGTAGTAGTAGTTATGAACACATTTTTTTCCTGCAAAGTGCGTAGTAGCAGTAGTAGCAGTAGTAGCAGTTATGAACACATTCTTTTTCCTGCAAAGTGCGTAGCAGCAGCAGCAGCAGTGGTGGTGGTGGTGGTGGTGAACACATTTTTTCCCCTGCAAAGTGCATACTGACAAATACTTTAGATATTTTTGGAATTTCAAAACACACTTTGACAATATGTGAGTGCGTACTAACAAATACTTTAGATATGTCAATGCAGTCACTAGCCGCTTGGCCGAGTGGTGTGTGTGTTGGGTGTGTGCGTGCAGGTTCGAGCCTGCTCCCTTGTACCTCAAAAAAAAAAAATGTCAATGCAATATCTACGGATCCGTTTTTTCACTTTATCTTTCACGATATTATTCTGACCAGTATTCAACATTGATATCGAAATTTAATTAACGGTCAATAATATAAATGTGGGAATTCCAATCAGAATATTGAAATTGTTAAGCCAAGTTTGCAGAAAATATCTTGTGCTTTATCTTTTTTAGTGATAAAAATATCGTCATAAGACCCATTTTTTACATATGCAACATTTTTAGACCCCTTCTAGTAAGATTATATCAGTTTTTCAAAAAAGCAATTTTATATATTAAAATTTAAAGGGTATCAGATATGACTAAAGCATGCTGCTTCAACGAAAAAAAAAACATTGTTCGTTTCTACTATAATTATCATTCTTTATAAACTCAATCACATCCTCCCCATAAAATGCATTAAACAAAGCGTGGCTGAGGTGTGGGCTCACTGAGACAAGAATATATCTCTCAGTTAAAAAAAAATTCAAAAATATATTTAATGATTAACCACTAAAATGATTATTAACAATGATATTCAACCCTTATACTTCTATAAGGTATGAGCTATATTCTTATAAAGTAAACTAACCTGAACTAAAATGATTTTATCAAAATAATATCTATAAATACGGGGTGATTAATATATAATACCTCCAATTATTGTGATATATATGAGTGTGTGTGTGTGTGTGTGTGTGTGTGTTTGTGTTTGGGAAGAGTAGGGACAATATGTCCACATACGCATGCTTCTTCCCAGCAGTAACCTTCTTTTGAAGGTACTCTTTATATATGGCCTACAAGACTGACCGTAAAAGAAACAATGCAATGAAAATGAAAATGTGGACCGAGAAGGCGGAATTATACATTCTAAAGAGACAAAGGTTACGTCCTTCTTGTCATTAACATATTTTCTAGGGTTACTCTATGACTCATACAATACAAAGGGATAATGAAAATATGGTTCTCGATATGCGATAATGAACTACTTGTGGGATCAAAGCTTTCACGCATCACTAACATAATTTTCTGCCATGCCATATGTGCCTAATGCTTTTTAAATAAATATGGTTTGACCACTAAGAAGTACATTAAAAAGGAAAAAAGTAGAAAATAAATAATTTAATATCTTCTTGAATTATGAAAATGACACGAATTACAAAATATGTAAAAAAAAAAAACTTTTGTGACATTTGTTGTGAAATATGTAAAATATCAGACCAGTCCTTAGTTATTGAAACTTTAAATAAATAATTTGGGCATAAATTGAGGAAGAAACATAAAATTGCTATATTTAAAACACCATTCTGGAATGAGAAACACGTCATATAAAAGTTGAAACGATTCGACAAACGATATCTTATTTATTCATGATTAATTTATAATTAAATGTTTACTTAAGGGTACTTTTTTAAAATTAGTAATTTTATATAAATTTAATTTTAAAAATAAAGTATATTCTCGTTATCTGCCCTGACCAAGTATAATTTATGCGATCAACTCTTTGTTTGACTATTCTCAAAAAAGTTACGCTATTAATGCAATCATTTTATAGGTGAATATGTATGATATAATAATAAATACAAAAAATTTTCCAAAAAATATAAATGAAAATTTTTTTCCAAAAAAGTTACGCTATTAATGCAAGCATTTTAGTTGCAGCATTTTTCTTTGGACCAAGATGATATCATCAAAATAAAATATGCATGTAAGGGGATATATTTAGTAGTTTCTTATATGAAATGGAGTGCAATGACTTCGAGGTCTAATGCCAAGTTAAACATGCAATGCCTATATTTGCAAAATGGGAGATAGAAAGACCTTTGAGGTGTACGTTTCCTCTTACCAACATTCTTTTGGGTACTCTTCCATATTAGATTGAACTAATGAAAATGAAAATGTGGTCCAATTACACTTTATAAAGTAACAAAGAATCATTCTTATCATAAACATATATTTTGGGATACTCTGTAATCTATACAATATAATAATAATAAAAATATGGTTCATGATATGAGAACGGACTATCTATATGGTCAAATTTTCTCCTCATCATTAGCTTAATTTTCTTTTTCTTTCATTGCATCAACTTCTTTTTGACAACGACTTAATGTTTGAATGGTTAATTAACCCTTAACACACACACACACACACACACACAAACACAACTGTAGTATTTTTTATACTAACATTTTTACTGTGTTCTTTAATCTCAAATTTAGATTTCATGCATGGTGGTTTTAAGAAAGGAATAATTGTCTTACCCAAAAATTAAAAAAATAAAAAACGAAATGCGAAAGTACAATTGAAGGGACAATATATATCCACGCAAGCTTCTTTTCAATAATGAAAGTGTGGTCCTAGACGTGAAATTGTTCAACACGCAATGAAATTAATTAAGGGACTACCTCAGAAGATGAAAGAATGCCTCAAAAAATTAATTAAGGGACAAAACTTCTCATTAACATACATTTTTTCAATAGGATTAACAAATGTGCATTTTTGTCATTTATCTGGAATTTCAAAATTCCAATTTAGATTTACTTCTTTTTCTGTCATTTGAAAATACCAATTTCAAGTTTTTTTCCAGAATTTTGCTTAAATCACTAAACAAAGTTTAGTAATAGAATACGTCTCAGATATCAAAGCATGTTTAAATCATAACTTTGTTCGAACATCAGCAACAAACTTGGAATTCATTTGCGTACATATTAAGTCATACCTTCAAACTTGGATCGATCTTATTCTTCAGTGTAATTTTTCAAAAAATTTTTTAAAATTGCATAAAGCAATTCCAATTAGTCTCGAGATTAAGAATGGATTATTATTAGATTGATGATTCTGCTCCTTGAAATATGCAGACAAAAAGCTGTACTTTTTTCTGCCACACACAAGAATACATACTTTGAAAAGTATTTATTCTTAACCTCTTTTCCTTTTAGTAAATATTTATATTATAGATGATTGCTTGCGTAGTGAATGGATCTTATAACGTTAATATTATTAAACCTTATGCTTTTAGACATAAGAATTGTGCACTGCGTTGCTTTTAATTCTTTTCATGTAAATAACGTGATTATGTTTTACTACCTTTTAAATTTATTGTATATACATTTCCTCTTTTTAACTAGACCATCAATATACAGCAAAATATTACACACACACACATATATAAAGTGGTATTATTTACATGTATCTTTAACAAGTAATTTTATTTTAGCCAAGATGATATCATATTCATATAAGAAGGGATATTCAGAAGCAGTCTCTTATGACATGGGTGTGATGACTTTGAGGTCTACTGCTAAGTCAAGCACGCCATTCATATGTATCTGCAAATGGGAGATAGAAAGATGTAATAGATCCAATCAGATTAAGACTAAAGATCTTTTGAGTTACTCTCTCAAATTAGACTGAATCAATGAAAATGAAAATGCGGTCCAAGAAGAAAGATTAAGGGTGTGTTTGGATGAAACCAAACCGTGGTTTGGAAAATTGATTCTGGAGAATAGATTCTGAGAAAAAGTGATTATGAGAAGTGAGAGTGTTTAGATAGTTATTACCAGAAGCACTTTTTACATGTGAAAATTACCAAAAAGGGTATAAGTTAATATGATAATTATATAAGGGATAGATTTTATGATATATTTTGATTTGAAGAAATAAAATTGTTAATAAAATTTTTTTTACTAACATAACTAATAATATATAAGATAATATAATTAATACATAATTAATATGTGTATATATATTTATAAAACATAATATTAAATATGTTTATAGAAAAATGAATTTTTTTTTTGCTAACAGAAAAATATTAATTTTCTTTAAAGATTTTAAACGTGAAATCCCATAACATTTTTTCGCAACTACTTTTTGTAATAACATACTACATGTATAATAACCTCTGATGTTTAATACAATTAATTAATTAATTGGCACCACATATATATATTCATAAAATATAAGATTAAAAATATTTTTAGAGAAGATGAATTATTTTGTTGCAAACAGAAAATCATGTATTTTTCATGAAGATTATAAACATAAAATAGGACGATATTGTTTGATAAAATAGAATAAACACGTCTTAAAACAATTTATTAATTATTAAAGTAAGTAATAATTAGCTTGAGAATATAAGGTATAATATTAATAAAAGAAATATAAATAAAGAAGTGTCATAATAATTAAGATGATGCATCGATACAAAGCATTTGTAATAGGTTTTGTTTTTAACTACATATTACAATCTATGATAAAAGGAAATAAATAAGACATGACTACTATCCTTGTATTGAATTAACAAGTTCGTCTCTTATACTGTCACGAACCTGAGCCATGTAAGATGAAGATTGAATTGATGAATGTATACGTGAAAATCCAACCCCATCATCATCTTCTTTTGCATAAGTACCTTCTTCTTCCAACTGAATGAATCCAGGATCAGTAATAGATGTCGTTCTAATAAAATTATGTATAGCCATCGTTGCACAAACGATTTTAACTTG